CCAAGTCCTGTGGCTTGGACACTCCGGGTGCCTCTGACAAGGGACTTTCAGACTGAACCGGGGGTCGGCAGGGGGCGCTAGGGGAGAACTTGACCCTTGGCCTATTTGGGTCCCAGAGGTGCCTGTTCAGCTGGTGACGCTTCTCCATCCTCCAGGCCAGTGTCAAGGTGCCTCTGGGACCACCTCTCTGTCACCCCCATAGAACCCTGGCTGACATTCCCTTTTGTCACCCCCACCCACCCTGGATTCTACCCCTTAACACCCTTTGGAGGGCCCCATCTTCTTAAGGCTGCTAATACTTCTCTAGGGGAGCCCCTGGCTCCCCTCCCGCTCCCCTTGCTGGGGTGCTGCAACCCTCAGTGTCAACCTTCACTTCACCCACAAATTTCCTTCTCTTTTGTAAGCTGGGGTCTAGCACACACCTGTCCCCCTTCTGGGCCCCCCAGTACCTGACCAAGCCGCCACCGGGAGCGACTCGAGGTTCTGAGGCCCAGGCCTGCTCGTCTCTCCACTCTGCTCCTTGGCAGCCCTCGTCCGACCCCTCCCTCAGACTCTTCAAAACCTGCAATGGAACAATTCTGGATCTCTCGTGGATCCCAGGATGCCTGGGAACTTTCATAATTCTCTCCCATATAACACGTCCTCATCTTGGGAAAAAGGACCCAATAAAATTCTCCTTTTCCTAGCCCTGTTCCAGCTCAGCCTCCACTAGGACGCCTTCCCAGCTTGCCCCAGCCCGGCTGGGCTTCTCCGCTCTCTTCCTTCACTGTCGTCTCTGCACCACGCACCCCACTGAACGGCGCTCGCTGGTGGGCGGCTGTATCGCCAACCTCATCCTCCCCCCAACCTCTGCCAGGCACAGGGCTGGGAAGTTTGCCATCCTGGAGGTGAGGCGAGCCCAGGAACGGAGGAGGGAAGCAACCCGCAGCCCAGGCGGGAAGGCAGGTTCCCCGAGGATGATGGGACCCGAGAAAGCCTCCTTCCTGGCGTCCCTCTTCCGGCCCAGACTCTTGTCGGCTTTTGAGGAAATGCAGAACAACAGACTTCTCACCTCCAGCTCTGTGGAGGCAGCCAGAGGGGGCTTTGAGAAAGTGGCCTCCAAAAATATGTCCAATTGCCCAGACAGGCCTCGGATGCCAACAGCTTACAGGCCCCTGCAGGTCTCATTGCAGACTCTGGAGCAGGGCAGGGGAGGCCAGTTGGTATCGGGACTTGATCGCTCCGTCCCCTGGGCTCCCCCACTAATATCAAATTTAATTTGAGAAAACAAGGCCCACCAACATGAAATTCCACTAATGAACAGAACCTGATTTCCCTTCCCGCTGCGCTCGTCTCCTAGTACCACCAAGGCAGACATCAAGCGTTCAATGCGGGGACAGGGGATTGCCATAAAGAGCTGGCGGAGAGAGGCCTTCCCCCGCCGCTCCCCTTTGGAGTTGAAGCTCATCTCGATGCATCACTATGGCCGCGAGCCATCAGGAGTCTTCTCCCCGCAGATATTCTGGCCAAGAGAAGTTGTGGCCATATGTTCACACCATTTGGTGAAAAACACACTGAACCAACAAAACAAGCACGACACTTACGGGGGAAATTTTTTTGTCACGCTGAATGTGGATCCGTCCTCAAGGAGTAAGTCGCTTCCCAACCCAGGGGAGCGAGGGGCCTCTCCTGCGCCACCGCATTGTGAAGATGGGATCCACACAATGGGTGTCCTCTCCACGTGTCCCTTGCCATTTTATTCCTCAGGGGTCCTAGTCACAATGGGTGACTGGAAAGTGAAATAGGAAAGACAGTATTCTGAGATTAAATCCCCAAACGTCAGAGGTCAGTCGTGAGGCCGAGTGCACCACAGCCCCCAAGTCATTGAAGCTTCCAGGAAAGTCCTTCCAGGGCCCGACGCCATTGCTCTTCCTCTGGACGGTCCCCGATGGCTCTGAATTCACTCTCCAGAGCTAGCTGGACTTTAGTTCATACTGACAGCAGAAATCTATTTTCTCATAAAGAATCCTCTGTGGGGGCCTCCCTGGTGGCGCAAGGGATTAAGTCAACATGATCAAACTTTCAGCAGCCACTGCAGGATGAGTTCGATCCCCAGCCAGGGAGCAACCCACATGGCACAGCAGACCTCTCTTGTCTCCCCACTGCTCCCCTCAGCAGTGCATTTCAGTAGATCTGCCTGTTCTGCTCCCCACTCTGTCTCTGGTGAATCCTCTCACACCCCGCACCTTTGGCCTGTACCCCAGTTCGTGTATGCATAAATAAATTAAAAAAAAATGAATCTGCTAGGAAAGCCCGCGGGCCCCAAGGTACTTTGGGAAGAAATTTAAATCCCAGTGCAGGTTTTGTGGTATGTTTGAAGCCCCGGTGGGCCATCAGCCTGCTGTGCCTGGGGAATCTCAGGCCCTGGGTCAGCATCTCATCAGGGTAGAGGCTCCGGTAGGACGAGCTGCTCACAGTTCACACATCCCTCGGGTGTGAGAACGAGGAGGCTCGAGCAGGCGTGGAGGTCCGGCCCCTGCAAGCCAGCTGCTTACCCGGGGTGGGGGCGGGCATGTGATGATGATATTTGCATTTCAACTAGACGGCAAGCTTGAGCATTTAGAGATGGAACAAGAAGGTGAGACTCTAGGAAGAACCTGCCGGGCCAGGCAGAACCTCCCCGAGACTTCAGGCCCAAACTATGTTCCTATCAATAAAGACTCAGATGTAAATAAAGCAAGTCTCTGCGGGTAGATGAAATGACGTCCCGATGATGAGATTATCGCCGATCTCCCGCTTCCTCTACTCTGTGGCCGATGCTCCGCCCGGCTTCTGAGAGTGTCTGTTTCTGCTGGGTTTCCTGTCAAGCTGGAAACATTCCTTAGGCAAACACATGTTCTTGGAAAGAGGTCACGATCTGGTTCCAACTCTCTGCTTTTGGAGAATGGGTGTGACCGTATTCTATGAAAACACTAATGCTATGAAATTCCTTTAACTGCAAAAAACACCCACGTGAAGTAACCACCACTTTCTCCCAGCAGTGTCTACCTGCTGCCGTTCTTACCCGAGGAACTGCTTTTGTTGGGACAAAGATATCACTGAGGAGCTGAATCCAACACAGGTGCCTTACTTCTGTGGGAAAATCTTCAGTGTGTTTCACAGACAGATCCTGGGCCAGCAGAACACCACATTTACTCCAGAGACCAAGGAACAAGCTTCATTTATTTCCTTGCCCTTAAATTCACCAGGTCATGTAGCACATCCTAAGTCTCACTTCTACAACCCACAGAAACATGCCCCGCTCGGCTCAGCGGGAAGGGGGTGGTTCCCTCCCCCGGGGACGTTGTCTGCGTGCGCGTCAGGTGAACGGCAACCACGCAGGGTGGTCGGCCACTGCCAGCTCTGAGCCCTGAAAGGCACTGCCCGCCACGTTCCCAGCAAGGCAGGCGGGGGCCAGGGTACCGCATGATTGCATTCCAAAGATGAGCTTCCCCTACCACTGGGGGCCCCCACCCCAAGGTGACATGCAACAGAAATGACGTGGTTATCCTTGGCCAATCCTTCCTGACTTCTACTAGAAAACCAAAACAACAAAGCCACACAAGAGGAATGAGTGGCTATGAACATGGGATCTAGTCTCTCACAGGCCAGACTGAACATCGCGTGAAATGTCTCAGGGCACGCGCTGAAGGAGCATATTTACATCCAGGGGAGTTGAGGGCTGATGTACAGTAATGCAGATCACAAGGCCTTTATCTAAGTGTCTAATTTAATCCTCACCCATCCGGCGAGGCAGGGAGCGGGCAAGGAAAACAAGGTCGAAGGAAGGTCAGCACCTCCCTCAAGGTCACGGAGCTGGCCTCGAAGTCCTCCTCAGCGAGGCCGTCTCCATTTCAGTGGCAGGACTAAGAATGCACCACGGAGCAAGGGACATGGAGGTTTAGAACAGTCGGGCGTGATCTTTGGCTGAGGCAGGGGCTTCCCAGAGCTCGAGCAGGTATATTGTAATTATTACCAAAATAAAAAAAAAAAGAAAGAAATGAAAAGAGGTTCCAGGGTTAATGAAGTCAGGGAATGCTTGGGGTGAACAGGCGCCTTCTCTATGGGGTTCTCAGTCTTTATATGAATAAGGATGACAGATACATGGAGAATAAGCTTTTGGGGGAGGTCTCGTCTCTCTCTTAGGAGACAGTCTGCGGAAGGTTGGGGTAAGACGTCAAGTCCCTGAAATCAGGAAGGAAAATGAGGCTCCTCCTGCGCGGACACACTGGATAACCTTCCGGCTGCCTCAGGGTTTCACCTATTTAAACTCCAAAGTGAGCTCCCTTGGAAATGTCGAGGACTCCACGACTTGAGTGCAAACAACGCAGCCTATGCAGACGCTGGCTCGTAAGGCAGGCCACGCAGTACAGCCGCCCCCCACCCCCCACCCCCATGTGGTCACAAGCCAAGGTCACTTCAGGAAAAAGAAACCCCAAACCAGAGGCAACCAGGGGGCGGAAGCAAGCAGCGGTGGCTGGAGATGGGCGCGGGCCCCCCGGACAGCTTGCGGGACTTCGGAGCAAAGAAGACCCGGAGGAGGTCTTCCTGCAGTTGCAGCCAACTGACTCTCCACGGCGGAGCGGGCGCGGGGCTGGGGCGGGGTGGTGGTGCCATTCTGGGCTGCCCCTCCAGGTCAGAGCAGCCAGCACCCTCGCGTGGGCACAGCACCAGAAAGGATGCCCGAGTGTCACGCCTCGGCGCTGGGAGCTCAGGCCCCTCACACCTGGGGCACTCCGAGGTGTGGTCAGGCCACACCCTAGACTGGACTAAGGTTTCTTGCTTTTTCAGCCCAGAGCGCTTCACACCACACCCGACCCTCCACAGCTACACACCCCCCACCCCCGCTCCCCCACATTTCTCAGCCAACACAATGCACCGAATGCCCGTGCTGACCAACACCTGTCTGAAGGCTGCCGTGCCGGGATGGGCTGCCGCCGGGTCTCAGGCGGGTCGGTGGGGCTCCTGGGAGTCTAGGAGACAGCCTGGCAGCTCGTGCTGACACCCACACCTTCGCTGGTGTCTCTAAAAGCACATTTGACTCTGGATTTCTCTTCTCGGGTGAGCCGGGGGTGGCAGACTGAGCTCGGGCAGCTGGCCCTCCGCGCTCCGGGAAAAGAGAACATGGGTCGTTGGGATTGTCGTTTTGACTCACTTATACTTGCTCTGCTTTCTTCTAAGTAAACAGACACAGGCATTGGTAGATGTGGCTGGCAGGGAAATGAAAGGTAACCAAGCATTTTTAAACGTATGGATTTCAGGGCAAAGGCCATCTTTTCACAAAGCCACAAAGATAAGGGATCATGAAACTGCTCCCCTCCCTTTAAAAGTGTCATCCTCTAGTGTGACTTCAAAAACCCAGCTTAGCTGGAGTTTGACCAGGTCACACCCCCTAGTTAGAACAGGTTCTGTATCATTCTCAGCCTCCAATAGAACACCTGAGAGGTTGTTTCTGAGCAGATGCCACCCAATCATCTCTCCCGTAACGTTCAAAAAATTCACTCAAATACCGACAGATTCAACTTTATAGCACCATTCCAAAATACTAAACTTTCTTTGCACCTTTATTTTTATCTTTTTTTTTTTTTTGTACACGTTTAAAGTATGGGCATCCTGTCAATTTCTGAAAAGCCTCAGAGGAAAAAAACCCGACTGATTTTCAGGACAAAGCAGTAACTCAGTTTGTAGGTAAGATGGTCTCAGGCAGGCTGTGGGGTTCTTCCTGGGCTTCTGCAGTCTTGACGGGGGTGAGAGTGAAGAGCGCTAGTCTTCCTGGGTAGCTTAGAGATTACGTTGCATGTGGGACGTGAAACGTGTGGCTCACTGGTTAGCTCTAGGTATGCATTACAAGTGAGCCCGTGACCACCAGTCTTCTGCAAAGATTGTACTCGTTTGACTGACAAAAGAATCGGGGTGTTAGAGGATGACACCTTTTATTCACACTGTGAGAGAGAAAAGAAATCAGGGTAACATCGAGTTCCCTCTTACCAATCTCCGTGGTCTTAAGCTTGGAGCACTAAAATCTGTTCTCAGCAAGCAGATGGATCGTAAGTCGAATTATAAGTGGGTTTGTAAATCAACATGTATTTGGCTGCACTGTTATGTAAGAAGGACCGTTTGACTAAGTGATGTGGGAGGTGGTGGGTGATGAGTCTGCTTGGCAGGAAAAAAAGTTTTCTCGTGACACTGACAAGTCACGCTTCACACTGGGATTGGAACTGTGTGCTCCTCTGCCGCCCGCGTGGACCGCCATGCGCAAGCGCGCCCGGTGGCAGGGCTGGCGAGGGGCGTCGGGGCCGCTGAGTGTGCCGAGACTGGTGGGGTGGTGTGAAGAGGTAGTCAGAAGGGGTCCACTCACAGCTTAATTCTGCAGCAGTTTCAAAGAACTCGATCGTTACACCAGAACAGTCAATGATCCAGGAAGAAAGACTAGAAGCAACTAGTAGTGAAAAGCTACTGGGCACCGGGCAGGAAGGCTCTTGCAAGAGACCGTTCATATGCCCTGCAATAGAAATCATCACTTTGCACTATGTACACCACATACAATAGAACAGGTTCTTTTCAACATTGCACAACACAGATATTATACATGGTGGGAGAAACTTAATGCAAAATAGCTCTGAGGCACACAGAGAGACATGGACTAGACTGAACTTGGATTAAAATGAAGATGGGGTTAGTCAAAGGCAGAATGTCACGCTGCAGGCCAGCGAGCTCTGGGGACCTCACAGCTGCCACCTCCCTGATACACCGAGAACTCCCCTCCCTCCGGGTGCGTAGAGTGGGCTGCTTCGGACAAAGACGAATTGGCTAAGGAATCTGAGAAAAGCAAATGGTTGCTCCCCCTTGAAAGCAGGTAACCCCGAAAGATCCCGGCCGACCCCAGGGCTTCCTCGTGAGGGCTCAGGGTCGTACCCGGCGGCAGAGCCCCTGCATCTTGTGAGTGACTCGGCTACTGTGAAACCACGTTGAGGAAACTAGAACAGTATTCAAGAACACCCGTCACAGTGCTTAACAAGATTTAATGTACATTTATTCTTAACATGTGGAACATATAAAGATTTTATACTGAATAAATGATATTCATTAAGCCAGAGGAAAAGGAGGAATTTACATCAAGTTTTTTTCTTTTTTTTTTTTAAACTACATTATCTTGAAATACAAATGTGGATTCTTGTCACTGAAAAATCTTTGAAGTTGTGTTTCTTCCTTTTAGTTGTATTTTTTTCTTTTTTGTCTGTACTGATAACCATTTTCTAAATCAATCCATATGCAACCATTTCCACACCTTGATTCATGAAGCAAATTGTGATCAGCTGCTCTCCCGAAATAGAGCATGACTTTATACATACAGAAACTTGTACATTACCCTCTTTTTTTTGTTTTTTTTTTTTTTTTGTTTTTGTTTTTGTATTTTTTCTTTTTTTTGGAGATATGGCCCTAATGAAAAAATATATAAAATAAAAATAAAAAATTATTTAAATCTACCATCACTTCGTAGTTACCACATCATGAAAAAGAAACTAAAAACTTTGTACTAAAAAAAAAAAAAAAAAGAAAAAAGAAAAGAAAAAAATGAGGGTATGTTTAATGTACAACTTCTATATACATCACAGCCCATAGGCAGTAAAAAAAATATTTAAAAAAATGATTAAAGGAATTGTGAAGAACTGTCATGTGGAAGGTCAAAGGACAGACAGCAGACATGACGGCTGTGGTGAGGAAGCAATTTCCGTTGATCGTTGCCAGGTTTGTGTTTTCAATCTTAACTTAAAAAAAACATTGTTTTTGCTCCTAGCCTAATGTAACCATTTTTTCCTGTGGAGAAACCAGTATCATTTCATAGTTTGACTACTGACGGACATACCTCCTGGAGCCCCTATACCTACGTTTCTAGAAGTTTCTATTGCACTGAGCTTTGGGCGATGGGACACAGTTTTCGTTATCTGAAGAACACGCCTAGGAAATTGACACTTTTTCACCTTTTTGCCTCCGTGAGGTGAATATTCCCATCTTAGCATCTTTTGCCACAACTTTTTTCTTTAAAGTCAATTCGCTTCCCAAAAAAATGCAATACAACATGGAAAAGAACATTAAAAAGAAAATCTGTGGAAAAACAAAAAAGTGACCTTTGAATGCACTAGACAGCAACTTTGGTTAAAAAAATTAAAAAACAAAAACAAAAACAAAAACAAACCCCAAAAGATGTACTTATACACACAGACAGCAAATATTAATTTCATAACTGTTCGAATTAATTATTTCTTTAATTCCCAATTGGTAAATAGTGAACGGGGCAGAGGAGCAAAGATTTTCTTTTCCTTCTTCCTACGCTGGATAAACAAGAACAGAAAACAGCCAGTTATACGGGAGCCTCTAGTCTTCACTCACACATGCTGCCTCTCACTGATGTCATAACTGCCCAATCTGAAACAGTACATCACAGATGACAGACGCAACCAGAGAGTTCAGGACGGCCGAGATGGAGATATCCAGCAAGCGGCCCTCGTGCAGCAGGAACTCGGAGCGGTTCTCGTCCACCCTGGCCATGGCCAGCAGGGCCTTAGCCGCCCTGCACATCATGTCCACGCTCGGTGGTTCTAGAGGTGGGGGCTGCACGTGCATGAGGTTATGCTGGCTCTGCTGATACTGGGCCATCGTGACCCCATCCTCCAGGAAGCTTATCAAGTTTCCAATGCTTCCCTTCTGCACCGCTATGGCCCTGGCTGCCAGCGCGTCCCCTTGGGCAAGGTTCGATAAAAGCGCCATAGACATTTCTCGACAGACTGGGTTTTTGCGATCCCCAACGTACCTAACTAACGTAGCATAGAATTTCTCCTGACGACTAAACGGAGGCGTGGCCAAGATCAGGTCCACATTATTGTCCTGGATGCTGAGTTTACAGAGGGTCTCCAGCACAAGTCTCTGGGGCGACAGGACAGAGTTGGGTCCCACCGTGGGAAAGGGGTCTTGCGCCTCCGCGGAGGGGCACACCATCCAGTGCAGCAAGCCATCCAGAATCGGCAGGCAGATGCTTTCCGTGTACGCAGACAAGTCTAGCTGCCCGGAAATGTTGGCCAACGTGACCAGCGTGTTATCCCGCAAGACCTCGAGGCAGTCCCACCACCACTCATCTTTGCTGCAGGCCACCCCTTTGTCCTCGTCTTCCTCCTTCTCGTAGGTCTGCGGGGCTCGTTTTCTCTCCGGATGCTCATGGTGGAGAAGAATCAGCTTCCCCAGGATCAGCACCAAGCCTGGATGTTTGGACATTTCGGCGTCGTTCCCAGGCACAAAAGACAAGCTACGGACGATATTGGACACACAGATGCAGCGCTTGGCCAGAGAATCCTGCCAGTGCGCGACGGTGCAGAGCGGCGTCTCGTCGCGGCTCCGCGGCTCGTCCTCCAGCAGCTTGATGTTCCGGTGGCTCTTGGCCTGATGGATGCCGAAGGGGAACTTGCTGCTCTCGGGCTGGGTGCCGGGGTGGGCGTCTTCGGGCAGGGCCCCGGGCCGGGCGGACAGCACGTCATCGATGGTGGCGATGATGCTCTTCTCCTGCTGCTCTTCGGAGTCGCCTTTCCCCTCGTGCTCTCGCTTCCTGCCCGCGGAGCTCGGAGGCGGAGGGGGGCGCCTGCGGGGAGGAATCTCCATCTTGCTCTCAAAGTGAGTCTGGATGTGCTCCGTGGTGTCCCCCCCGCCCAGCTGCCAGTGCAGGAGCCCGCTGCTGAACTCCTGCACGCGGCCCAGCCGGTCCGAGCGGTCGACGACGAACAGGTTGTTCTTCCTGACGATCTTGATGGGCAGCTTGTCGAACTTGCTGGCTTGCCTGGGCTTCTCCCGGGGGTCTGCGGGGGCATCGGGGCCGGCCGGAGCCACGCCGCCCCGCTCCTCGCTCTCCGTCTTCTCGCCGTCCGCCGCCTCCTCCTCGTCCTCCTCCTCGTCCTCCAGACACTCGGCTTCGTCGTCCTCTTTCCCGGAGTCATCGGCCGAGGACTGGCTGCCGTCTCTCCCCGCCGCGTTGTGGTCCAGTGCTTTGTGGCCGGGGTCTCCCACTTCATATTCCGTAAGAATTCCAAAAATGTCGATCAGGCATTTCCTGAAGTACTCTACCAAAAGTTCGAGAAATCCAGACAGCTAGAGAGGGAGGGAAGGGGAACAAGAAAGGGACCGTGTCACAGCAGCAGGACTGAGAAGGGGGAAACGCTGGTGGCCAATACCACGTTTTCCTCATTATTTTCACCCGTTTTAATTCCTTTCTGGCGAAGCCGAGAGAGAAAAACGACGTCAGCCAGAACGTAGGCCCCGAATTTTACAATGTGAATGGAACCAACATTTACTGTGGCTTTACCTGCCGCTCACTTTCTATACCCTCCCCCTGAAAACGTAATTTCCAATTACAAAACTTATTTTCAAATTTCAGTAACCTCTCTTAAAGGAGGGAGTGCTTTGCTGTTCTTTGCCTTATTTTTCCTAATTTAAATACCATGCACCTGTTATTAGAAGAGTGGCGATGTGTGTTTTATGGACTCATTCATTCCAAGTGAGTCTGTTTTCTTCTCCATCTCAGACTTGCTTGCCTGGATTTTTACGGTTATTCTTAGGACCTTAGGGTTATTTTTGTCTCAGGTGCCGTAGGTTACTCTACTTTATGTTCTCTTTATATTTTTGGGAGAAGATATTTGCTGATAATTTCAGCAAGGGAGAGCTCATAAACACAGAAAATTAAGAACAAATCAATTTGGCCCCTGATAAATGACTCAGAACGTCTCCCAGAATGCGCGGCGTCTCGGTTACAAGTCTACCCGGGAGACAAAAGCCACTGTGAGAACAGTTTTGCTTCCTTTAAGCAGATGTTTGTGTCAAGAAAACCGACACAGGCTTCCATAGGCAAGCGCCCAGCTCCCCTGCTCCCGTGCCGGCACCGCCACATTGAGGGATGATCAGGGTGAGCGAGCAGTAAAAAGGAATCTTTAGCTAGAAAAGTGCTATGGAAATCACACTTTCAGAGCCTGCTGTCAGTTTCCAGAAAGTGGGCTTGGCACAATTATTATGGAGGGAGGGGAAATCCAAGCTTTTAAAGTACAGAAGCATAGCTTTTCTAGGGGAGTTGGGGTGTCGTCTTCCCGCTTCGAGTCTGCTTCTTCCCCAGGACAGAGGAAAAGGGAGGTGGCAAAGCCACTCTGCTTAGGAAAGCATGTGACCAGCAGCAGTTCACTTCATGTAATGATGGAAATGAATGAACTCCAGTAAAGGCCCCCGTTTATATTTAATATGCACTTTCTATAACAGTGGCCCACGTGTGAGTCTTGTGGTCTGACACACTTGCTGTCGGCTGAAAGTGCCTTTCAGGGCTATGCTGAGGACTTAAACGAGACAAGGGAGAGGAACTGGGACTTGACCCTATTTCAACAGGAGCTGGGGCATGAGGTGTTCCAGCTTTTTTCTCTAAAAGCGGAGCCGTTGACACCCAGTAAGCAGGAAGGGTCACTTTTTCTCATTTTTGTTCTAAGTATTTCTTTGAAGATTCATAGCTCAGTTGACTTAGGCATTTCTTCCTAAATCTCAGTCCCCCTTCTGCCCCTGAGCGATTATGCTAGATGCTGCCATAAGCCTTGAGTTCAAAAAGGAGCATTTGAGCTCACTGAAAGTATTGGGCTTTTCCAAGGTTGCTTCTCAATGACCTGGGAAAAGCAGACGCTGGCGGGAAGAGATCAAGGCCAGCCTGGCCAGGCACGCACGGCTACGTCGGCGGGCTGGTGGCTCACGAGACTGGCCTACTTCTGTATATGTCCACGTTTTCTATAACATAGAATTTCTTCTTAATTAAAAGAAAGATGTCATGTCCCCCTGGGAAGTAGGGTAACGTCCCGATGCAGCCTAGTGTGTTTCTGACACTAACACAGTCATAACTGTGTTACACTGGGTTCTCCGTAGCCTGCCCATGATCATTCTAAATCATTCATTTTTACTACTATACTCCCCCCCCATCACCCCCCCTCCCCAATGGCTACCTTATGAGACTGGCCGGTATGTAGGTCTTTATACCAAAATGAATCATTATTCCAGATTAAATTCTCAGTCAACTACACACTGATTAATGTTATAACAACTACAATGACAAAAAAAAGCCACAGAGGAGGTGCTAATTACTCAGGTCTAGTTCAAGTGTTACGCACAACTGACCTTCTCATTCTCGTGGTCCTTGGGTGGCGGTGCCCACTTACCTGGGAGAGATTGAAAGTAGCGACAGTGCTGTCATCGTACAGGAGAATATTGATGGTGTCCAAAGCCCACGTACTTTCGGCCAGAAGCCCTGACTTAAGGGACATCATGACACGCCAGGCCTCTGGAGTAACTAGATGGGGAGAGAACACGGTGTGATCAACACCAACTGCGCCAAAGAACAGAAAATAACCACGGGGGAAGGAAAAAAGGGAGAGTTGAGGAAAACGTTGACTTTGAATGTTCTCAGGGGGATTACACATGACGCTTTCACGCTCTAAATGGAGGGAGAAGCTGTACTAAGAGCTATCGCATAAGATCTTCTTGCTCTGTGGGCTCAACGTGAGCCAAGAGGAGCAGTAGGGGTGGGCGTGGTCAAGCACAAGTCGTTCTTTCTCATCTCCAGTTTCTTTCTTTTGGCTCCAACGGAGCCTGTAAAGATGCGTCAGGGTTTTCAAGAGACGAGTAACCCACAAACGGCATTAGTCTTCTTTAGCCCGCTCCACTCAGACTGCTTCAGGCAGTGCCAAAGGAAGGGGGGAGGAGGCAGAGGCGACACTTGTGAACCCCCACGCAGCACATCCTCAGGCGGTGGTCCTCACCCCGCTGCGCCCTCTCCTATACCTGACTCCTGCCCTCGGAGTGCCCTGTTGACAAACATGAGCCCTTTGATGGGTCAGATTTTTCTAGAGCTTGGCGTGAGCCGGGGAATGGGAAAGAGAAGACGTTTTCTTCCCATTCCTGATACTGGGGATGCAAAGTGGATAGAGACACTGCTCGCGCACTGTGCGCTATGCTGGGGCAAGGACAGGAGGCCCATCGCCTGTGTGCAATTTCAGTGGGGCCATCCTGGGAGAAGGTGGGCATGGGCGTGATCAGACCCCCGAGACCAGGACTTGCTGAGGTCACGGCCAACAGCAGCAGCAGATCACAAGATTATTTTAATTTCATCAATTTTTCAAATTTTCTAAGATAGGCACATAGTACTGTTATATTAGAAAAGGCAGACTTTCTTTTTAAAATAAGGAAGGTAAATTTCTCTAGGCTGGCATAACATATACTGAGGAATTAAAAAAAAAATACACTTAAACATAGATACACACACACAAACACACTGTACATTTTCCATAAAGTGGTGCCAGTCTCTTTCTCATCTCCAATGCGCCCCTATAAAACTCCCCACCCTCTTCCTAGATCTACGTACACCCATGTATCGTTAATATCCGATGACCGAAATAGCATTAATATTTTTAATCTTCTAATCACCGCAAATGTCTTAACGCAGGTGATCTTGAGATTTTTGAAAAAGGTTTTTTTTTTAATACAGCTGAGATTTATTTAAACTATAAATAAAACTGGGATTTATCAAAAATGATGCGAAGAAACGGAGTGTAGTCCCAGATATTTCTGATCTCTTAATTAGTTCTGGGAATATTACAAGTAAGATGAACAGGCAACATCAGGATTAAATGAAACAGCTTTACACTGTGTCTGCCAGTGCTGTGTGGGTCGTGTCCACTGTCTGTCACGTTCCATATTTTGTACCCTTCTACAGATGGTACTCACGCTGCTTTTCCCAGGGTCTTCACTACCTGTATTCACTGCCGGAATTTGTCCCCCAAATTCCGGACTGGCTTGCCTCCAACTTTTCTCAGACCAGCTTCGCATTTTGTTAGCCTTACAGTTGTTCTGTTCAGCATGAATGGCAGAGATTACGTGCTTGGTGAAGGTCAAACCTTTATGCCCAAAATGTCAGGCACAGTCACTGACGTCCCTCCCCTGGCGCGCTCCTGTCTCACACAAATAACACACAGACGTGAAAACACCACCCTAATTCATGCTCCCTGGATGAGGGGCTCCCAGCTGTAGTCCCATGGAAACACCTGTCCTGCCTGCTGGTTGGAGTAAGACTGTCACCCCTCCAAGTTAGGGGGGCAATTCTAGGCCTGGCTGGAATTCACTTCCGCAACGAAGACTTGGGCATGCTTACCGATATCTTTTGAGGTAATCTTCCGCCTTTGTTTCAAGACTGGCTGTGATGCTTCTACTGAGCCGGGAGGAAAGGTGATCTCCCTCCTGATGGGGGGTGGCTGGGTGGGCGGCCCGGCGACCTGGGACGTGGGGACGGTGGGCATGACCTTCTGCATCTTCATAGAGGGCAGAAAGGGAGACTTGCTGGGAGACATGCGGCTCTCCAAGGAGCGCTGGAAGGAGGCGGGGCTGGGCGCCCTGGAGATGTGGTTTGGCAGTGACGGCGGTGTCTGGTAGGATGACTGAGGCGGGCGCGTGATGGGCTGCATGGAGGCTGACGATGACATATAAGGCTGACGTTGGCTGACGTGAGAAGGCCACTGGCTCTCGTGATTTATTCTTTGATCAGGTACCATCATATCATCCGTGCGGTTCATGCCGGGGTAGGGAGGGGCCTGTGCAGGCCCGCCAGGGCCTTGCCGGTTCTGGTAGGGGTAAGGCATATCGTTGCGTGTCGCCCACATGCTCTGCTGAGGCCCTTCGCTGGAGGACGACTGCATCGGGCCGCCCATCATCTGCGGCGGGATCCCGTGCGGCTGCATCTGCCCCGGGCCCTGCATCCTCTCTCTGTTGTAGGGGTACGGGTACTGTCCCTGGAGGGGCCTGCGGTCCGGGCCGGAGTAGGAGCCGCCATACTGGTTGTACAGCTCCTGCTGCTGGCTGCCGTACTGCATGTTGTACATGTCTCCCTCGTGGCGCTTGGCTGGAGGCCCATACATGCCGTCCATATGGCGTTTGTAGTTCTGAAATCCACATAAAGACAAATCGCAGTGATGTGCTTTTACAGGTATAATCTCACACTTAAGTTATGCAAAACAGCTACTGCCTGGCGGCAGGCTCGTCTCCTGATGAAAACAGGCCCCTCAGTGAGGGACTAACAGCTCACAACTGTGTTTTGGTATCACTCAGTACCCTGTCACGCACCCTGAAGAGGGCTGCCAGAGTTTGTTTTCATGTGCTTGAAATTTTCTGTGGGAGAGGAAGCCTCCTCTCCTTTGGTGTCTCCCAGCCTGTGACATGGGAGGAGGGGCGGGGGGGCACTGCCCAGTCAGCATCGGGCAGGGGGCCTGGCGCTCCTCCAAGATGGTGTGGGGAGGTCAAAGTGTCAATCTCACAGGCATGGGCCAAGGATTCTGAGCGACAGCCTGAGAGAGTCCTTGGTTCAATAGATTTCTCAGGCCTAACTGGAGAAAAGGCTCCACCCTGGACCTGGCTCTTCAGTCGGGGCTCGGCCACCTGCCCCACCTGCAGCCTGACTGCGAAAGCCCAGCGGTCCTGGTCATGAGGACAGGGTTGGCTGGGCACAGCCATGGCTGAGCTCGCCTCTGGGAGACGCCTGGGGTGCCGGCACCTGAACACAGGGAAGGGACCCCCCTGGCGGAGTGAAGGCGATGCTATGAGTGTTACCATGCTTTCACTCAGAACTGTTTAACAGTGCAGTTCACTGTGCCTGCCTGCTCCAGCAACACTGAATAAATGTTTAAAAACTGCTTATGACTAAAAAAAAAAAAAATCTAAACTCCCCCCACCAACAAACAAACAAAAAACCCCCAAAACAAAAAGCTCTCTGCTTTACAGGAAGTCTGGGACCTGAAAATCTGCTGAGATTCAACAACGCACTCTGGTCTGAGAGCCACAGCATGAAGAGCCGTGCTCCCCACCAGCTGTGCTCCCCACCAGCCCTAAGGACACAGGGGAGGTCAGAAGCCCTCAGGGGCCTGAGTGCAGGGCTGTGCAGACCTGTCCCATCTGGCTGAAGTACACATTTGCTAGAGTCTATTTTTTAAAAGTCCATTGGCTTTCCCAGTTACAATATTTTAGATTGTTTTCTTCTCTGTATCCTCTTGAAAACATCTCGGCAAACTTTTGTACTAATAAGGGGTTTTGATACAATCGTATACACGATGGACGCACATCTAAAACCTACTTAACTTGGGCTTGTTGTTATTTACAAGGATGAATGTCCCTAACTTCTTATATTATGTTTATTTTTGGGCCTCATACATCAAGAGTTATTTTTATTTTAATTCAAAATCCAAAGACTGAATCTTAATATGAACAACTATATCCTGGTTATTTAATAAACGCGAAGCATTTTTGTTACACTTCTTAAAATTCTTCAGAGTAGCGTGAGTTTGGGTTTTACAAAGAAAGCACTGAGAGGCACGCCCGCTCACCAAACTCGCCAACTCACCGGCTGCTGTGGGTACAGGCCAGGTTGGTGTCCTCCATATGGCGGCTGTCCTGAGGGAGGGCCTTGGCCTGGGTACTGCTGCCCATAAGGTTCATGCCTAGAATGAGGCATCCAAAGAAAACTTCATTTACAAAGGACCTCAGGCCAACAGAGGGATCAAAAGCCCATTTCTGGAAACTCCACGCCCCTAAACATTCTTGTTCCTCACCATACACACCTTGTTATTCCTCGCTATACACACCCTTCGTTCCTCACCACACACTGTGTTATTCCTCAGCACACACACCTGGTTGTTCCTCAGCATACACACTGTGTCCTCCTCAGCACACATACCTGGTCGTTCCTCAGCACACACACTGTGTCCTCTTCAGCACACACACCTGGTCGTTCCTCAGGCCACACACCATGTACTTCCTCAGCATACACACCTAGTCGTTGCTCAGCACATACACCGTGTCCTCCTCAGCACACACACCTGGTCGTTTCTCAGGCCACACACCATGTCCTTAGCACACACACCTGGTTGTTCCCCAGGCCACACATCATGTCTTTCCTCAGCACACACAATTGGTCGTTCCTCAGGCCACACACCATGCCCTTCCTCAGCACACACACCTGGTTGTTCCTCAGCACACTGTCTTCTTCCTCAGCACACACACCTAGTTGGTCCTCAGCACACACACAGTCTTCTTCCTCACCACACACACCTGGTTGTTCCTCACCACACACACCTTGGTCAGAGGCGTTCGGAGCAGCAACAGCTCTTTGGCTTTTAGCAGAAGTGATGGCAACACCCATTTGGGAAGGCTGCCAAGCTTCTGGTTAGTAGGTGTGAGAGGAGTCCTGGCTAGACAGGCAGGCACCCTCTGCCTTTGAGCTGAGGCCCTGCCCAAACCCTGAAGCACTCCCCAGGGAGTGTCTTCAACATTGTGGTGTGGGGTATTCACAAACACAAGAAACTACAAAAAGGATCCATGCATCAAGGCAGTATCTCCAGGAGTACTAGAATATGGACATGGAACTACAGAAAAGCTTCCGCTTCTGACTTTCTCACTATGAATATAAAATACTCAATTTTTTGAAGGCATACTTCAAAATTAACTCAAATATTAGCGAGCTAGTAAATAATTGTGTAGATACACATACTCAAACTCTCTAAGTCCTATGACCCCTAAGGGCCACAGAAAGGAGTAACAGGTGTATTTAAAATATATTCCTACTAGGTCTTAAAAGGGAATGAATAATACATTTATTTTTTAATTGTTACCATACTGAGACATTATAAGCACCATAAAAAGAGCATATTTAAAAAAGTAATAGATTAACTGTTAATTGGTTACTTTATTGAACCTTGTAAGAAAGAATAGTTGGACTCATATTCCTAATCTGGCTAAGGAAACTACAAGCAAAAAAAAAAGAACGAGTATTTAGAGAATATCACCTGCGAAACAGACATCAGAAAGTTGTAACTACGTTGATATGAAGAAGAAAGCTTACATAACTTACATATGAAGGAAGAAACAAACATAACTGACATGGATAAAATTCAAGCTGAATAGGCAACACTTTTCCTGAGAGAAGCCTGAACAGTGAGGGAGAGGCCTCTGGGGTGGTGGAGTCAAAATGGTGCCCGGCCTAGGCCCCACCTTACTCTAAGAGAGTGTTCTGGAAGAAATGGAAAAGTGCATTTGCTTGAAACATATATTAAAGAATATATATTGCAGGACAACCATTGTCCTTCTAAGGAAAAAAAATCTAGCTTTTTCTTTCTTGACCCTCGAAGACAACCCAAATCTAAGTAAACCTCAATGCAGTACACTAAGCATCACACTTAGTCTCAACCACCCAGCGCAGGGTTCACAACCACTCACCACACTAATAAGCAAAATTCTCACGTCACTATCAGAGAGAACCCTGAGCCTGAGCCTGTGATGGCTGTAGGCTCCTAGGACCCAGGGTCACAGAAAATTCCAGAAAGAAGTATTATTTGGTAAAAGAGTGATTCTTCTTCAAAATTTTTTTTGCCTTTGTACTAAACCAGGGAAGCCCTTCTACTACTTAACTGTCTCTGTGACCCCAGACTCCAGAACATGGATGATGGAGGGAGCAGCTCTGACTTCAGGTTTCTGAGGACCCCACACTTGGATTCTGAGGTCAGTGCTGGAAACCTCCCAGCCCTGAAGCGCCCATGTGGCTCCAGGAAGAGATAGAGCCTTCTACTGTGACTTTTTTTTTCCCCCTTTAAAAATCAGATCATGTTTTAAAGTGTTTGTTCCTGAGCATCTCTTGTAAGGGAGGTAAAGTGTGTCAACCAAGGGACAGGTTGTTGCAGTCCTGAAGTCAGGGCACAGTTAGGGGGCTTCCTCGCCAAGAAGCCTAGCGGAGGTTACTGATAGGGAGCCATTCTGTTGCCTGATCTTGTTACAAATGAACCTGGACCAGGCCGCCGCCTGAATGCCATTCCAGGGTTGAGATGCCCACATGAAAAGCAGTTCTGAGGCTTTTCTTGGAGAGGCTTGTTAAGGAGCCAAGTGTTTTTGTTTAAAATGTTCACGGGAAAGAAAGAAAGCAGCTGAGGAAACCACGCCTGAAAGGCCTTTCTGAGGCCCACTGGCCCCTTAGTGTGCTGCCAGCCTAGTGTGGCCATTGGTGCAGCCGTGCCTGTGCAAGCTGTGCCCCGGGAGACCTGGGGTTCACAGCAGCAGCCGTGGTGCTGCCTCCTCAGCGTGTCCAGGCCTCAGTGGGGGTAGGGGAGCGGCCCTGGCTCTGAGTTCAGAAGCAGCAGCCTCTTGCCATGGCGCATCTTAGCATATTTCCAGCTGATGCTTTGGGCTTTCGCTTACAAAACTTGGCTGCACCTGGCTCCTGGGAACAAGCCCCTTTTCCCAGGTCCTGCTCCAGCATCTACTGAAGGCAGCCACCCGACACCCAGTGCTCCTGAACTCTGGCAGGAGAGTGGACAGTCTGTGTTGCCATCTGCAAGCGGGGCCTGGAGGGGTGTGTGAGGACGTCACCTTCATTGGGAGACGCTCACCTTCGATCATAGCTGGCTCCATAGGGAAACTGCTGCCGCTGCCCCATGCCCAAGCTGGACATGGGCCCGGAGGGACTTTGGTTGTACATGTCCTGCATACCGCCGGTGGGCATCTGTCCTTGCGTCATAAAGGGCTCACTGCTTCCAGGCACTGCAATATTCAACACAGAAGATACCAAATTAGGCATTTTCAAAAGTCAAAGCCCAAACATCCCTTCCCAGTCATTTCTGTTGAGCCTGAACAAGACCCTGGACAACACAAATGCCCCTGCCCTGCTGCTGTGCGGGGAAGGTGGTGTGGAAAGAGGGGCAGCAGCCTCCAGATGGTGGATGAGGTAGGGCACCTCAGTCCTACATTTGAGGGAACTGAACTCTACCAACGGCCTGGGTGAGCTGAGCAGAGCCCGAGCCTCTGGTGAGACCAAGTCCCAGCTGACACCTCGATTTCTGCTGTGTGAGACCTGAGCTGAGCCCACAGCGGCGGCAGCACATGTCCTGCTGTCTGAGCCACTAAGTCTGTGGCTAAGTCTGTGGTAATTCACACAGTAACACAGAAAACACACGAAGGCCCAGATCCATGCTTACAGGGTAAGGAGTCAACTTGCGAGTTGAGTTCCTTCTCTGTAAACGAGGTCATTAGTACCATCTCATGGAGTGGGTGTGAGGCAGAGATGAAATGCACACATAAAGCCAGTTCCTTCACTTATAGGAAAAACAACAACTTGAAAACCTTAACACACACCCATCCACTGACTCACTCCAAAACCAGGATAAGAAAATTACTAGGGAGTTAAGAATAGCTCAAGAAGGGATGAGAGACAACCATTTCTCACGGGGGTGGGGGTAGAGTGCCAATTAGGTCAAATATGCAAATTAGCTTCAGCTCAGCGCCTGAAGGAAATTGGGTCAAATCCAGAAACTAGTCTGCAGGCAAATTAAGTACCTTAACGCAAATTTTAATTGATACACAGTCCTACTACTTTCCTTTAGTCTATGTTCTATGGGGCAAAAGCTGAGTAAAACTTTGTGAGCTGACAGAATGTTGGCTGGTAGAGAGGTGTGCATAAAGAACCCAGCGAGGGCAGAACGCATGTTATCTTACTTGAGCTCGCATCAACCTGCAGCAGAATTAGTTTCGATGTTACTTTCCATTTTACAGAAGGGAAAACAGGCAGAAAGTGGCATTATTAAAGTTAAATAGCCTAATTCCCTAATACACAAAGAGTTCTTAAAAATCAGTAAGAAAAAAGACAAGCACACTAAAAGCAGGCGAAAACATAAATGGACATTCACAGAGGAGGGAAAATAAATGGCCAGTCAATACATGAAAAGATGCATGACCTCCTTGATAATTAAAAATGCAAATTTCAACAATACCAGGCTCCTCTCCCCACTCCAATCTTATTGGCAAATACGAAAAGGAATGAATAATCACTTTTAGTGTGGGGGTGAGACCTCAAGCACACTCTTACACGTGTGTTAAGGTTATTAAACAAGTAAAAGTCGTACCTGCCATGGCAGCTATGCTTTGTGGGCCCCCAAAGAAACACATTTGGGGAGGGAGCCTGGCCTGTGAGTCCCCTCCTATAGTGAACCTGCGCACTTTGGGGTGACTGGCCATGAGCCCAGCTGAAGGGGGCTGGTAAGCACTTGCCCTTGGGGCTGGCCCTCCTGCAGGGTTGTTTCTGGGACTCAGTCAGCACATACTGAGGTGCCCCCCCCCCCCACCCACCAACAGCCCCAGCGGGTTCCAGTGGCCTTCCTGATGCGCACAGGGACACTCAGCGCCAGAGGAGGGCAGTTCCTCATGGCCCAGGTGACTGGCAGGGAGCCAAGAGCCCCCCACCCAGAGCACAGTCAGGGGTTGTGATGAATTGCTGTTGTTTCAAGATGCTACATTTTGGGTAACTTGTTACACAGTAAAAGATAGGCAGCCCACCAGCAAAAAAGGTCCTATCCTTTGATTCAGCAATTCTACTTCTAGAAATCTATTTCACACAAACCCTCTTGCAAGGGTAAAAAAAATGACTGTATTTCAATAATCAGTGTGTTCACAGCACAGAGTTACTAGGAGCACAGATGAGAGTAAGTAGGACTATGAGTACAGATATTAATAATCAAACCACACCGTCACGTTAAATATATAATTATTGCTCATGTAGAGTCAGTCAGTCAGTCGACTCATCAACCCTTTAACCAGCAATAAAGAGAGGAGGTGGGAAAGGCAGGTAGAGGTGGGCCAAGGCTGCTAGGACTAACAGGCAGGACATGGAGAACTAAGGGTGGAAACCTTCAAAAGAGTAGGGACAGAGCACTTGTTTCATTTGGATTTTCGGTTTATCTGCTTTAATTTGCTGCCCAACATATCAGTACTGAAAGGTAGTGGGTGAGCTGAGAATCACTGCGGAAGTGGGAGAGCCACTGTATCATTTACCTGGCTCACGAAAGCACCTTACGTACCTAGGGCCTAGCAAGGTCATACAGTCATCCGCCCCACCCCCCATTTTAATTTTGTAATAAGAAAAATTGTAGGTATAAGGCAACAAAAGAACATGGCTCTGGACGTGTCAGAGCACACACAGGGAGGATACTGGACTAGCACCCGGAAGCTCTTGAAGTCAGACCCCAAAATTGACTATTTTTTCCATGTTATTGTCTTATTTTCAGAATCTAAAAATGTAATACAACCACCAATAACACTAAAAAAATGTTCTTTCTAGCACCTTGTACCAGCAAGACAAATAGCTACTTCCAACATTCACAAAGCTCTTAAACTTCTGAGTTTATGGCTATATCGCCTGTTCTGCAAGATCTTAACTTGGAATAAGCAGTTCTGAAACCTTTCAGAGGAAAAATTATAGATCATCTCACCTTATGAAACATATGTGGAAATTCAGTATATGAAACGTGACATAAAATCTCATTTGTTAAGAAAATGGCATATGCCCAACATTTAAAATTTTGAGATTATTCATTTTTAGTTTTCATTGTCTGTTCTACTTATGAAAACCAAGGTTTTGGGCTTTATGCTTCTCTTTACTCAAGACAATATATCAAGGAATTTATGTATCTCTAACACCCAAATAGAACAGAAGTACTTTAAGGGATTCCAGAATAAGCACATCCATCAACATATTACTCACATTTTTCTGGATTCTTTTTCACTAATACTCACACTGCACCTCAATTTCCGAGGCCCCACTGCATTTGGAAGAGTGCTGCAGGCACTCAGCCCCACCGGGGAAGGGCTAAGAAGGGCAGGGGTGTAGGTGGCTGCCATCCCAGGGCTGAATACGCTCCCCTCAAAAAGGAAAGCCAGAAACTCTCCCCTCTGTGGTCCCACACTTCCCAGTCCAGGTCTCTGCTTAGTATTCCAAAGTCATGTCAGACTCCAACCCCACCCCACCCCAGACATACTCCCCACCACCCACCTCCCCGACCTATGCGAACCTCAGTTCTGTCTTCCCTCTGCCCTCTCGCCCACCCCCAATGGTCTGCGTGGAGGGAACTCATTGTTCCCCGGGGGGCATCGCCCTTGGCCTTCTCCTTCCCCATCAGTGCGTCCTGACGCTCTAGTGCACTTGAGCGGCTGCGGAGCTGCCCACGGGGTCTGGGGGACAGCCTGTCACCTCTGCTTTAGACTGTGGCAACCATCCCCCCACTAATACCCTCAACTCCTTCCATAACATTCTCGGTGGATGGGCAGCTACTCTTGATTTTTAACAAACCCCGAGCCATGTCACGGCCCAACGGCACTGTTTGGCTACTCAAACTCATCACTGAGCCTGTGGAGTTGAAGGCTCTGGCCCCATAGCTTCCCAGGGCTCAGCTCCCCACACCCAGGTGCCCCACTCCTCACATGAACCCCACGGCTCCTGGCTGCGCCCCGCTGCCTCCTGACCACCCTGTTCTCCTTGGATGGCCCACTCCTTCAACAGGTCTCAGCGGGTCACCGCTCCTCAGCGGAGCCCTTCCCCCCAGACTGCCCTCTTGAAGCAGATTCCCCTCCCAGGATTATTGCTCCACACCCTTTCTTCCATCAAGCACCATCCTCAATAATGTACTTGTGGTTTAACTTGCTTTTTGTTTGTTTCACCCCCAAGAACTGTTGGCCACAGGGCCCTCACCCCATCCAGACCCCATCACAGGACACTGGGCTGGCATCTTACATGTGCCACCAACAGTCACCCTTCTAGGGGCCCCTGGGCATTAACTCAACCTCACGATGCCCCATGGCTATCCAGATGAGGAAACCGAGGCACAGAGCTGCTAAGTACTTTCTCCAAGGCCACAGATTACAGGGTGGGGAGCTGGGTTTTGAATCCATCTCCAGCAGATCAATGAAAGGGCTGAGGGGTGGCCCAGAGAAGGAGGCCTGAGCAGGAGCTGCCTGCAGAGCTGCTTCCACATTCACCTTTTCTCATTCCTCCAAAGGGGTCCTTGTTGGGTTCGTAGGGCATCCTGCCCATCACGTCCGGCATGCCCATGCCCTGCTGGTACGGGGCACTCGGCGTCATGGAGTTGCGCTTTGGGAACGATGAGTCGCTGGCATCTGAGAAGGGGTCGTGCACACTGACTGTGCTGCTCCTGGAGAGATGAGCAGAAGGAAGCTTAGTGATAATGCACAGATACCCCCAAATGCTCATTCAGAAAATAAGCCAGTCTTAAAATCTGTAAGTGCAACCACCACCCGAAATAAGTCACGTGAGTAAGCCTAGCAGTAGCCACCATTTAAAAACTTGCTAGGAAATATCCCTTTTGTCTTTAAACTTTGCTCCAGAAAATTAAGAGACAAATCTGACTTCCCATGGCTCACAGAGGCGCTTAGCCTACCTTCCACCTGGCATTGGGGTCTGTCCGTGAGGGGTGGAGGCGGGAGTAGGTGGCTTCAGGTCACCCGGAACTTCTGCCATGGAATTACTGCCAGTTGACTGGGGTGTCTGTGGCCCTTGCAGGGATCCTGAGTTAGCTGGTAATGGCACCAAGAGAAAATAGGAGAAAACCAGGTTGTCAAAGTAAGCTCATCCTTGCTGGTTATTAGAAAATAAAAGGCGGGAAAGCAGGACTTCATCTTCTTAGAAACAGTAGTAATACCCATCACCAGTAACAATGAGGTAACCTTAGTTGCTCTTACCTTGTCTATAATGAAAATCTAGAAAAGTTGTCTTAGTAAACTATCAATATTTGGTGACAAAGGGCAATATGTGTCACTGTGACCATGAAACCTGTTGATACCTTCTGCTGGGCAACTGCTTTTCCTGGATACTTTCTCCAGAAAGTAATCTAATGTAAAGGAAGCGGTAGGCAGGAAAATGTCATTTCAGTGTTGTTTATAGTGGACATAATCTAAATGTCTGACACTGAGGAAAAATGGGACGGAAACTTCAGTAGATCAAGTTGATGGATTATTGGGATGTTTTAGAAAAAATTATTAAAATTTAATTCTGGACGTTGGCAACAAGAAATACAAGTTGAAAAGCAAAGCTACAAACAAAGAGCTTTATGTCACTGCAATGCCTTCTCCACGTCTGGCTGTGTCTGTGCTGTCATTACCAACATTTGGAGCTCTGAAACCAGTTTTGTTACTGCAAAACCCAAGGCAGGCTGGCTAAACATACTAGCAGAGTTTGCAGATTTAGGCTTAACTATAATTGCACCAGGAATTATAACTATAAGCCCCATTAGGAGCTTGGAATTGAGCAGATCTTTTCAAAACTTGAGTTGGATCCTTGAAAATAACCTCCTCTTGTAGGAAAAAGTCATACTTCAAAGGGCTCCTGCGTTATCCCTGAGCACTGTCCTCCCTGCGTCAGGTGTTCAGGACATGCTGGTTTCACGTGAACCAACAAACACTGCACCAACAACAACGGGCGCGCTCCGTAGAGAGTACCCTCTTTCCACACATGGCACCAGTGACACAAACACAGCAAAGGCCCGGCTTGCACACTGGTGGCAATCAACATACCCAGGGCCACGGCCAGCACAGGTTACGGCTCCCTGGGAAGAGGAGCCATTCGTCACATCTCCTGCTCCCTTCCTGTGACGGAACCAAGACTCACGACAGTTGCCATTATTCATGTTTCACTTTAGAAAAAACAAGAGTCTGACACGTGCCTCGACTCCAGATGGAGCTGCAAAGGAGTCAGAAATGGAAAGGGGTCCGTCTCTTGGCCTGGGACAGCTGTCCATGCAGTGGCCTGCCCGGCTCCCCGGCGGGGTGGGCACGTGATGACATCAGGGCAGCTCCCAGTGCCCAGGACGAGTGTGCTCCGGGGAGGGCTCAGAGCCGCTGGGAAGACTGACTTTCCATGTAGACATCTTAAAGGAAAGCCTTATTAACCACCCGTGCTTCCTCCCTGAATTTTGGTAAAGCCCTGAAAATGCCTATGAAAAAAAGCAGCTAGTAACAAAATACCAGGTTGATGCTCCAGGCGTGACGCCTGTGGAGGAGGCGGGGGGATGACCTGCTCCTGAGGTCAAGGCCGGGCCCCTCGGCCACGAGGCTGGTGTTTCAGTACGGTCCCTATTTACAAGTCCTTGCACTTACAGCTAATACAGAAAAAAAAAAAAAAAAAAAGGAAAAATTCTTCCCTCTTGCCAGTGCTTTTTCCTTTCCTTTCAGGAAAAAAAAAAAAAAAAATGAATGCAACCTCTTGAAGCTCCATTAATAGAGGAGGCTGGCAGGCTCTCTAGGATATCCCTGCCTTTTGCCAGAAGCTACAAATGTATACTGGAAAGTAAACAATGGGAAGGTTATTGAAGGTTAAGTACATTCACACACTTCAGACTGTACAGTCAGACTCCTAGCTGGGAAGATAATTTACACAGCACGAACCCGGTGCCCCAGTTCTGGCTGGGGTGGATGCAGTGGGTGGGGAGAAGGAAGAAGAGCTGATGGGTCCCAGGTCTACAGTGACAAGGGGTCACCCAGAGGGCACCTTTGTTTATAACCCCAGTCCCCTTCTCATTTATCTTCCACTGAGGATTCCCTGGTTGGATCTGTGACAGGTTTTGTGACATCACCTGTCAGCTAATAATAGAAATGCAGTCAGCCACCTGCCAGCAAAGATGGATGGGTTTTTGGTTACAGACTTACTAATTGAATGGGGGGGGGGGCTTCCTGGCCCCTGCCCCCCTCCCTTATCTCCCCCCCTGCAGCTCACAGGCTGCCCAGGCTTCCAGGGGCTGCTGCCTGTGCTGTTCATTAGAACTCCACCAACTCTTACAGGTCACTGGAACATGCCCCCCAGGCCCCCCTTGCCAGGGTCAAGGGCTTCTTCTCTTTCAGTCACTGTGGACAGACCCAGTTGTCTGGGTCTCCAGTGTGGGAACCCCCCCACTGGGGCTCAGGGGTGATGCCGTCCAGTGGCTGACAGTAGACTCTCAGGTCCCTCTCAGCCAGCGCACCGAATCAAAACTGGAGGATGACTCAGAAGAGGCCAAGTGACCGGACCAGGCCCCGCCTGGCTCAGAGTGCCCATTTCAAAAACAACCTAGAAACTTCTTAGGAATCTTCTAGGCTAGTTTGCTTGAATGTGCTTCTAAGGAATAGACTATACTTATGTTCTGAAGGGAAAAGCTGACTTTAAAGAACATGAATTTTGGTTGAAAATTGGCTCTTAAAACATTCTGTGGTATATAAGACCCTGACCTGACAAATTGTTGGGAATGATTTTCTATCCCAACAATAATAGTGTTTCACAGAGACTTAAGACAGTCTGAACGGGGGAGGCCCCGATCCTAGGGTGCCGGGACATGCCTGGCTTTCCTCAGGGCCCCTGCCAGCCCTGTGTTGACAGGCCCTGCTCTGTTTCCTGTCGTCTCCCAGGGTCTGGGCTCCGTGGGGACCACTGAGAAGAATGGACTATCTGAAGAGCATCTGCAATCCGAGCTCTTTTGTGCAGTTAAAATGATAATGCTGCCATAAAAACGGCAGTTTAAAAAACAAGGGAAAAGGCACAGTGCTGGCTGCTGAGAGCGCAGGCCTGAGCTGGGGCGGCGGTGGCCAAGCTGACAGCTCCCAGAGGCTGCTCTCCGCGCCTAAGCGCGTGCCACGCAGGGACCCGCATTCTCTCCTGGCAAAGAAAACAGGCCTCAGACTTCTGCAGACATGGCCACTTTGGTCCCCACACCCCGCTGGGTTTTTATTTTGGAAAAAACAGCTTCAGAGCTGTTCCTAGTTCATAGGCAGGCTTGTTTTACTCTGTGAACTGAATGTAACATTGTGAGAGTTTTAAAATTAGATTTCACAGTTTTTAAGGTGCATGGTACCTGGCAAGGGCTGTGGGGCTGAGAGGCGGCCGTCTGCTGAGCTCAGGAGCCGCGGACCTGAAGCTACATGTGGTCGCCCAGAGCACCTCTGCCGAAGAGTGTGTGCGTGAGGTCCCCGGGTCCCTAGCCTCATATAGCGGCATCACCTTCCAGAGCACAGCCAGGAAGTGATTTAAAAGGGCACAACTTCTTTCTTTGGCTCACTGAAACCACCTTCTATGTGTAAACATTTCACCTCTTAAAAGGTATCTGAGACGAGGCTGACGGGTACAGCATAACCTCGGGTCAGATGCACGGGACCCTGGTCCTGCTGTTCCATCTCCACCAATGTGATTTTGTGCCTTAGTTTTTTATGGCTCTCTGTACCACGGGGCAGAGTAAATGAGTAAATGACAACACACTTGGAAAAGTGCCTGGCATGTGAGTGCTTAAAAAATATTGGCAATCAGCTAGGATCCGCCCCCAGAAGGTGCCCACGTGATGCAGGGCACTGGGCACGGCTGGCTCCATAGCATGGGGCTGGGAGGGGCGCCAGAAACTGACAAGGGAATGGTTCCACTAGAGCAGACCGGCACCCAGGACTAAGGAACACAGGAATGTCTTCCCGTCTCTGAAACTGCACGTATCAGAAGAGGGTAATCTAGTAACTTCAAATCTGCCACTAACAGGCAGAACAAAAGCTGGCAGGAGCTGAAAGATCAGTGTGGCCTCTAGTTGGGAGAGGGCAGGTGGAAGGCATCATTAACTTAGCTTTGCTTCTGAGAATTTTGGGGGCTCCCTTTATTGCTAAGAAAGCTTCTGAGAATTTTGGGGACCACCTTTATTGTTAAGAAGTGTTTTGGAGATGCCTACTCTCTAGGTCAAAGCTAACTGGCTCCCAGATCCTGGCAACAGGGTGGCATGGGCTGTGATCATGCTAGTTTATTGTATTCCCTAAAAATGAGCGCCCCAGTTGGCGGGGGAGCTGGCAGAAGTGGCCAACATGCCTGCAGGCAGCATCTCTCACCAGTGCAAGTGCTAGCACATATGGATGGGGGCACTTTGACAGAGGCAGGAGGGTATAAGGAGTGAAGGTATATAGCTTGGGAGGCCAAAGTTGACTTTGATAAGGCATAGAGTAAAAAAAGATACCTTCAAACTGCTGACCTGAAACGGCAATATCCCCAATTTTGTTCTCTCTCCCTTAGACATGGCTAATGGGGGCCCAATTAAATGAACAAAACTACACCCAGCACCCCTGTCCTCTGAGAGAGTCTGCTTTCTTCTTCCATTGCTGGGAAGGGACGGGCAGAACCGCAGCGTGGCTCCAACTGGCTCTCCTGACGTGGCCCTGCGGCCAGAGCTGCAGTGTGCCCACCTACCAGGAGATGGCGGCTGGAGCTTGGGCTGCTTCTTCGTGTCCCCGGTGCTGAAGACTTCCGGCGGGGGCTCCTCCCCTCGCTCAATCTTGCACTCGAAGGCAAACAGGTACTGAATATACTGCTTTTTCAGGGAGCTTGCTGCGCTGCTGGAGGTGCCAACGTTCAGGTTGGTGGCCAGCTCACGCCACTTCTTGTTTTTATTAACCTAGCAAAAAAACCCCAAAAAGGCAAGATTATTGGTTTACAGCAAAGAGGCTTGTTTAAAGCCAGGAGACAAAAAAAAGCCCTTAATGTCTTGGTTTACATTTTTTTTCTTTCATTTGCCTCTTTTAACTAATGCTCATTACTCCCACTCAGTAGTGCACAGACAGCATTTACAGCTATAAACCCATTAAGGAACCTGCTGGTAGCTACATAAAAAGCATCGCTCATTGAGAATCTTCTGCCTGGTGCATTTTCTAATGCCTCCAACTCTTCCAGAGCTGGGGCTGCTGGAGTGGTGGTTTACCTCTCAGCTCATGGACACTCACACTCAGCCCACCCCACACTTGCAAGCACACTCAACTCCCCCTCCTCCCGCCCCTGCCTACGGACACTCGCACACACACTCAGTCCGTCCTGCTTCTAATGTTTTTTTAAAGGGCATCTAAAAACCAATTTAAAATGCAGCAACTATCAACAAGCAACTATAAACCAGAGACACACTACAGCGGGGGGAGAAGGGAGTAGGATCAAAACAAGGGGGATGGGAATTGTATGGGGACTATAACCAAGATGAAAATGCATATTGTGCAAAAAGAAAAATGATGTAAAAATATATACAATAAAATAAAATATATATAATAAAAAAATAAAATAAAATGCAGCAACTTAACTATTTTGCCATTTAAGTGTTTGAGCCTTCATATGTAAAACAACATTTCATAAGTAAAACAACAGTCCAAAGTCTTCCTGGGGCAGAGGCAGCGAGGTTCCCCATCAAGTGAACACTAAGAGTTCGGGCACAAGCCACCAGGCCTGGTGGGCTCTGTGGGAGATCCAGTGTCCCCTAAGTGCACTGGGCTGCAGAGGGCAGGGTTGCAAAGAGAAGAGTAAAAAGGACCAAAATTCCCTGAAATGTCCCACAAGGATTTTAGGTGTTATTTTGACTTGATTCCCACTGGGGAGAAGTCCTAATAAGGTTAAACGCATGAACGAACCGTGAAGACCTGTGAATATGTGGGGAATATTTTTCTTTGAGAACCCGTGTGAAGTGGCACCCTAAGGGCTAAAGGGACAGCGATTTCTAACGAAATGTTTGCTTTTTAGACTAAAGCTTTCTCACAAAGCTGTTTGGTGTCCACTTGCTTAGTCCTAACACACGGGACATGCAGGCTGCAGGTGCTCCTGGAGCTGCTTCAGAGACGTACGCAGTCTCCTGCCGGGAAGGCTCTGAGCTGCTGTGTGTGGCTGCAGCACCTGCTCCAGCCACACGACCAACCAGCAGAGGTCAAGGTGGGTTGGGCAGCAGTGCACGAGAATCTCAGCTGCATTCAAGCAGCCCTTATCAGCTCCACCAGCAAAGAGGCTTGCTTGGTAAAACACTGGGAGCAAAGTCAGGGCCTGGGACGATTTCTCCACTTGTGTGATGGAGAGACCCAATTGTTTAGCTCCTGGGGTTTCTAAAAAATTCTAGGAGCACAGGGGCAAGAGTGGGGGTCTAGGAGCAGAGGTGAGGGGCGCATGTGGAGCCCTACTTGTTTGGCCTCGGAGTGCTCTGTTTTACCATCTGATTGCCCCAAGGCTGGAATTCAGCTCTAATTGTTCCAAGTTATGGGTCTCACCATTTGGGGCACCTCAGGGAGGGCTGAGAACAAAGCCTCTCATGTATCTGCCCTCCAGAGCTAGCAGATGGAGACCCAGCAGGCACTTGGGATTCCCAGGGGTGAGATGACTCGCCCTTGGGTGGGTGGTTAGAGCCATATGGGCACTGGCAGGTTGCCATAGTGGGTTTTGGACCCCAGGGGGCCCAGAGCGGCTCCTTTTAGGGCCTAGGGTGGGAGCCCAGGGATCCACAGGTGTCCAAAGCACCACAGGTGTTTCTGATGGATAGCGAGGCTTGAGAACTGGTGGGGCAAGGAGGGACCCTGGAATCAGCCTGCCCAGAGGCCCGGGGCCGAGGGGACTTTCCTGTGGGTGGAGATTTTTCTTTGTGAGAAGAAACGAGTTTCTCTATGACAGCTGTGCTCAGAGCCTGCGGCCTTACCCACTTCCTCTTACCTGCGCCAGTCCTCCGATCTCTTTGACGCAGACATACAGCCGGAACAGATCCAGGGGCTTTTTGCCCACGGCCGGCAGACTGGAGACAGGGGAGCCCCTCTCCTCCATGAAGGTGAGGTACCGGTCGACCCACAGCTTCCTCTCGGGCTCATTTCCCAGCTCATACACCTTTGTGATCTTTTCGCCAGTGGTGGTGGATGAGCTGGACTTCTAGTGCCCAGAAGGAGCATTTGGAGATGAGGTGCGGGTGGCAGAGGGCGAGGGGAGAAGGTGAGAAAACAGTAATGAGCTATCAAATACAGGAAGAAATTTACAAACTACTGCTATCACACAACAATTAGGAATGAAGGCTACTAGTTCAGGCACAAACTATACATATTCTTAATTAAAAATTTACTTTGACTTTTAAATAAAGGGCCCAAACTCCCCCCTTTTACAGCCGTTAAGACAAAACCGAAAATTACCAAAGCCCTTTTTATTGATATAAGCGTTGAATCCCAGAAGGCAAGATTCCAGTGACATCTCAAGTTGTTTTAAAAATAGAAGTGTGCTAACTCATGAAACCATCACAGTGAACTGAAAATTCCACAGTGAGATCACAGAGTCCCCCAAACTAACGGACTCTTAGTTTTCCTTGTGAAAACAAGAACAGCTATTGTGTGTCCTCATTAAAACTTCAATCATGTGCAAGAGCCAATACATGGCACTTGCTGGAAGATACAAGGAGAGTTACAAGCACAGGAATTAACAGTGTGGGCTCCCTGCTCATTGAAAGCTTTGGCAATGAAGGGCAGCTAAGGCAAGGGCATTTATTCATGATGACCTGCTTTCTCTACTTAAGATTGCATGAACTTCTCTGCCAAGGAATGGGGCTTTGAGACAATTATTTTAATAATTTCCTTTCATATCCTGAAAACATTCTGAGTTTTGTTAATGTAACTGACACGCAGCAGATGGGAGGTAGACAGGTATATCGTGAGATGACATGGGTTTAGTAAGCAACTATCATCTCAAAGATACAAAAAAGGAAAAAAAAAAGGCTTTTCCCCTTGTGATGAGAACTTGTGGGATCTACTCTCTTAACTTTTTAAATAGACTTCTTAGGCAGCCTGGGTTTGATCACAAACACGATATTTAGCAGCTGTGGTGACTGTCCAAGTTCACTCGTGTGCACACGGCCTACGTGATGCTCTCACTCTTGGTCTTTTACTTTTGATTGTACTTGACACTTTTCTGCTATTTCTGCACGCCCAGCTCCGAATTATGTGATTTGAAAAGGTAACACTTTTGGTCTTAAACAGGCCAACTGGCAGTTTTTCTTTCTTTTCTTACTTTATTTGTAACATTTATGTGCTATAGGGTAAGTGTAGAAAATCACCTTTAAATTCTCCACTGGAGCAATAATTTATTTCCTTGGGACCAAAACTGGATCAATCATTTATTTCGGATAATAACTTATTTCCTTTATTCATGCTTATTTACTAGGTAATCATTTGCAATATATAGCTACTGGTTTAGATGGCGCTTTTCTTAATTCTTTTCTACCACATTAGCTTAGCATAACTGTAAACATAGCACTAACATCTTGAGGGTCAAATTGAGATCTGATGTTACCATGTGTAGCAAAATAATCCCCAATAAAAGTAGGCCCTGAACAAAAGGGGGCCTAAGAATGAAACTAATAGAGCTGGGGGGTGGCAGCTCACCCTCTGGTTCTCCCAAGCTATTTCTGCTAAAATTTTAAGCCTTCAGCTTTGGAATTACTGAGACAAAATCTTTACATCAAATATACAGAAATGGGCAATACCTTGATGTAAATAAAAAATACAGGATGGTAAGGGGAAAAAATTGGTGTGAACTCTTAGGGTATACAGTGATGCTGAAGGAAAAGTACAAGTCACTTCATAATGCCTTTGGAGCAGAACCTAAATTTCCACGAATGTTCATGTGTATGTTTTTATGCCCCCTCCACACACTCGGAGTACGGAACGCACTGTATATTCAAATTTCATTTTCCACGCTCTTATTCCCAAGGAAAGTCTGGCTGGGAGAAGGAAATATTCTAACACATTTTATGCCACATTCACTTCAGAAGCTTTATCATCGGAAACTGGGTAGTTACCAGGTTCCTAAATGCTAAGTGAACCTTTTTTCCTTTGGAGGAGGTACACTAACAATATGGGTCCAATGTTTTTCAAAAATGAAAAACGTGGGCCTCCCCTGGTGGCACAGTGGTTGAGTGCTGGGCTGCGGAGCTGCCCGCAGCCTCTGCAGCGCCGGTTTGATCCCCGGCCGCCGGTGAGGGTCCCACATGGTGCGCAGACCTCTCCTGCCGTGCCCGCTGCTCCCCTCAGCAGTGTATTTCGTCAGTCTGCCTGTTCTGTTCTCCGCTCTGGCTCTGGTGAATTCTCTCACCCTCCCGCGCTTCTGACTGTACCCAGTGCTTGTATAAATAAATAAATAAAATCTTAAAAAAAAAGAAAAACGCAAATGAAAAATGAGGAAAGAAGTACTATTACTTAAAATCAGTACAAACAAAAAGCACCAATTTTCCTCTTATGTGAAAAACTGAGAGGTAAAATGTTTGATTCAATTTAAGAGAAATAAAAAGTCGTCTTAACTTAAAATTACTCTGAACAGCTCTACCAGCGCCCTGAACATAAGACCCAACTGTTATTTCTGGCCTGGTCCTCTGCCTGGGGGAGCAGTTTTGGAGGAATATTTAATCAAGATTGAGCAATGAGGTCATAGAAACGTTTGCTGCTATTTAGGAAAGGAATGGATTTTCCTAAGGAAACAGGCCTTTAAAATGCTTTACATTGAGTCTGATCACACATATTTTAGCTTTCTTACCTTTTTTTTGTTTAAGGAAACTAAGTACTGATTACCCCAATTTGTTCTCTTAAAATTGGGAAAACTTGAAAATACTAGTTTTTAATAGAATGATTTTTCAGTTTTTATATCTTCAAAAAAAGCAATTATGCACCATACTGTAAGGAAATATGTCTGCATGAAAAAGAAGTGGCCAGGCTCAGTTTACGTGTGGTCCTTGAACAGTTGCCCTGATGGCCTCGCCTTACTCTAAATCACCATCGCAGGCTCGGTTTGTCCTGGGAGGCACCTGTTCCATAGCATACGGAAGCGTGGTTATCTATCTGGTTATCTGTTATGTGCATGGGTCACCTGGTTATCTGCCTGCCCTCCTCTCTTCATTCTAGACTTTCACTTCTGCAAGGGGGGGGGTAGTGCCGATTTGGATTGTCAGCAGTGAGTGTACACCGAAGGTCCAGACAGGCGTCTGTTCTATGAAAGAATACTGAAATGGCCAAACAAGCCTGAAAAGCCTGGCATCATTCAAATAAAAATTAACAGCTGATTCAAATATCCTACTGACATGGTTTCAGCAAGGAAGGGGCTAATCCACTGAGTCTGAAAGCGGAGAAGGGACCCTGCCCAGGACCATCATTTAACACCTTCAGCATCAAGTTTTGCTATTAACTGATCCTAAAGTTAGCATTTGGGTGTCCAAACAGAGAAAAAGGACACAGACCTTAGGAAATAAAGAGGACATACTTTATCGGGCTCAACACAAGGCTTTTCAAGTGACAGATATTAGCTATGACGACACCTCTGGAGAAATGTGGATATACCCTCCCCGCTGACGACAGGCACACCAACTGGCCCCGCAGAATGCGGCTGACTTTTCCAGGATACTAGCACCACCTGGTATTGCTTCAGTGCAAAAAATGTACCTGATTGTTCTGAAATGGCCGTGGAGGCAAGAAAAAGGAATGGAGACCGCTGACAAATCCCAGCAAGATGGGATGGTGGTGCAGCTAAGGGCTTCCTGTGTGCGATCTCATGAGCTGTGCAAGTAAAATTTCCCTCACGTCTTTTCAGTAGATCTACAATTCTGCCGTCTTTACCATATACCAGGTGATAAGTGTGTGTGTGTGTGTGTGTGTGTGCAAATGTTTATTTTTTTTTGGATCTTTGTGATAGAACACTGTTGATCTATAACACACTTTGGGCTTACTTTTAGACAGGCTTTATTAGGGGTGCTGTTAAGAGCAGTTTTAAGTACAAACTGAAGTTGTAGCTCAGAAAGAGCAGTTACACCTTCCTAAATTGTGTATTCCTGCAGTGATTTCAAAGCAGAGCTAAGCTGAGGTCCTTCTGACACTCTCCTGATTCTCATCTTGAATTAGCAGCTCATTCAAGAGCGTGGCTGCGTCTCACAGCTGATCCCCATGTAACATCCTCCTTACCTGCCAGCTTCTCTGCCACTCAAACACATGTGTGCCTACAAAGTCCTAAACTTCAGACAATTTATGACATGGGAAGAGGTCATGTGTGTGAGAGCATTTAGGAAAAAAAGGTAATATGCAGTTTTAACTATAAAAGTATTATAACCAGAAAATGAAATCAACAATTCAGTTTGTTAGTTAAGTAGAAAGCATGGGTTTGCTGATGCTTTCTGCAGGACTCACTAGATGGGGATAATGCGACCAGCAAGTTAAAAACAATAAATACATCATCCTTATAATTAAGAAATCAGTAAGGTAGAACATGAAAACCAGTAATATGGCCTGTTTGTGGCTGTACTTTTAATTTTTATTCTTATTATTGTAAGGCTTTAAAAATTGTGATTTTTTTTCAACTACTGAAATTTTCTCTCTGAGTCAACATTCCAACATTCTAATGTTGACTCAGCAAAGCTGTAATTTGAGTTCTACCTGTTAACTTGAGAGCATTACTGATTCAAAACACATTTTTTTATAATTAAGACAAAGTAGGGATACCAAATAAACCATGGGCAACAAAACCCGCCATGTCGGCCTGCCTTCTGAGAGTCAAGGCGCAGAACACAGAGACATCACAATGAAGGAGTTGTCCTCGCCCTTTCTATTAGTTCTGCTTAACCAGTCCTAGAAGCATTTTTCATTTCATCTCAGTTGTTGCAAAGCAAAACATGTCTACAGAGAAAGTAACAGCCCATACCCCCTTTCTTCCTCTGAAAAGGAAAATGCTAGTTATACCAGAGCTTCACATGAATTTTACAAACATTTACTGCAACCACCAACTCTTCAAACCTTCAGCTCTATCTGTTTAAACCAGTGAATGGATAATTAATAGCAGCCTCCTTTTGGGGTTTTGACTAGATTGCCAGATTCTGCAGTCAGAGTCTTCTTCCCTCCAACGTGCTTTTCCTGAGCTGTGCTGTCAATGCCTGGTCTTACAAAAATTAGCGTGTTAATTAAGCCTTCTTGGCAAGTAATTGCATGTTAAGGTTTTTTTTTTTTTTTTAAAAAAAGAGATCTTTTGACTCCCTATATGAATGTAAAATAAAGGTTACTACAGTGCCATCACTTTTCTGTTATTGGCACAGAATTAATTTCTTCAATAAGAAAACAAAGGCCCAGGTCTATGTATAGAAGACTATTAAAGGCTAAAAGAATTCCCTTATATATACATTACCATATCTATTTATATAGCACATGGAAATCAACACTTAATTTCAAGATCATCAGTCATCTTGTGCAGGATATAATTTTTCTATCTCAAGTGAATCTCATGCAGGCTCACATTATTGATCTAAAAGTAGTATTCCAAATATTTACATGCACTAACATCTCTACAAATTTCTATTAATTTCTGACAGAGATCGAAATGAGTAAGGCTGATCTTATGCTAAATTGTGTGTAATATTTTAATGTAATATTTATATTTTTAGGTAGGCAGTTTTGAAATAAGCTATCTCAGATACCAGAGCCCATGAGAGATTTAGGCCGAGGGCCAATCTTGCTGTTTGCTCCATGGCTGCTATTAGTTCCCATGTCAGTGGAGAAGGAACGCATTTTAAAGATCTCCTCCAAGTCCACAATGTGCATTCAAACAAGTCACTGTGCGAAGGAGTTTGGACCCAGTTACACAATCACATGCTTATATTGAGTTGCTTCGTTATAACAGTGGTTTCATTACCAGAAATCAACTTCTATGTACAGACAAGCTTTATTCATTTTGTTACTAATATAATTATAAAGAAAAGCCTTTCATGGATAAATTATGAAGTCTTAAACAAATAAATAAGCAAGCATTCAAGTAGAATTAATTAATCACCAAAAAACCCCAAAAAAACAAAAACAAAAAAAAACAAAAAACCAGAGCCACTTACAGGGCTTGATGGAGTCTTGGGCCAGCCTGGGCTGCTAATGCTATCACTTTCATCTCCATGAAATGAGGAGATGCTAGCAGAGCTGGGGGACATTGGGGAAGGGACTGGCAGGTTGCCTGGGGTTGGGGGCTGAGAAATACCCTGAGAGCTGTAGCTATCCTGTGGTAGAGGAATAAAAAAAAAAAAAAAAATGACAAAGGTAGGGCAAACTTTATTTAAAATAACAAAAAGCACATCCAGTTTAACAGACTAATTTATATATATATAATATATATATAAAGACACGTACAAACAAACACACAAAACACACACACATAGAGGTAGTAAAACAACATTCTTAATTAGTAGGATTTGGTCAGTTTGCTGGATGCTGGAGAAGGCCACTAAGCCACCATGCTTCCCTCAAGCTTACATGGAAATGCTAAGCATGGGTTACCCCTTATGAAAGAAAGAAAGGAAAAAAAAAAAAGCTGTTCACCTTATTTATCAAATAAGGCAGGAAAGCAAAATATTAAGTATGTTGTTGCTGAGGCGGCCAAAACAGGAAGCTATAAACTGAAGGCAGAGAACATGGCTGCAGGTATCAAAACCAGGCAAGACCCCCTCGCTTCTCCCCGCCCCCAAAGCATGTTCCTTCGGTGGGACTTGTCCCTCCACCCCTCACCCCCACCATGAGTTAAATGCCGAAATGCCGTGAGAACTAGTAACTTTCAGATCCACGCCATGGAGGGGCAGGGAGACGAGCATGCCGCGCACAGCGAAGGCAGGCAGAGAAGAAGCCAAAGGCAAACACGCAGCGACACCAGGGGGAGAGGCAGACACGCAGCTCGAGCGAGGCAGACCCCACACCGCGTGCACAGGAGAGGAGGTACCTTCGACTTGCTCTCGGGCTGGGCAGCGCCTTCTTCTTTACCGTCGGCTTTGAGAGGGACGGACAGCTTGGAGTCACCAGAAGACATCATATCTGCAAGACCCATAGATGCTAATCGAAAACAGGAGAAAGAGTTTAAGATTATACACGGATCCTCAGGCTGCGCTCCTGCTAACGCACGTTACTGACTGATGCAGGGGGTATGGGAATCTCCCGTGCGGAAGAAAAGGGGAGAAAGAAATTGTCACTCAGAGCAGACTAACTTCTGCAATCTAAATAGCACCACATTCTGACAATCCTTTTTTATCTTACCAAAAAAAAAAAAAAAAAAAAAAGCTATCATTTACCCAAGACCCAAACCACTGAAGGTCAACTTACATTATCTTTTCAAAATCATTACTGATTTAAGAGTAGGAGACAAATGGAAATAAGTCCAAAGTTTAAATTGCTCATCAGGAGTTGCAAGCAAACGCAGTGAACGTGTCTATTTTTTACCTGGTGACAAGAGGATTTAGTGCTTTCTTAATTTCCTAAATTCGCATAATCTACTTTTGCAAATCATTTGACATTTTATGTTGTTGCACTGAAAATCTTATCTATTGCCTGTGGCAGGTGGCCTAGTCTACCATAATGGAAGACCACCTTAACAGATGATCAAAAGCAATCAAAAATGAAACATTTGAAGGGGAGGTACTCCCTTTCAGTCTGGGTGGCGCCCCCTACATCAATCCTCAGCGGTCACTCGATGCCCAGGTCCTCCACCCCACCAGCCCAGGAGCCCCCGCCCTTCCCAGGCAGAGCTCATTCTCTATCTAGGCTGAGGAATTCAATCAAGCCCATGGAGGTTTGGGAATGAAAGCTTCGCCAAACAACAACTGACCTATACACATTTGTTGCAAAACTAGTGAACATTTTCAAGTCCAGATGAGGGTTCAGATTTGCTTCTAAAGGAAGAAGAACCAGGCTCTGGTAGGGGACCAGCACAGCTATCCAGGGGATAACAGCTGAATTTGCACAGAAGCCCCCTGTAAAGACCATCTGCACAGCCCTGGGCTGGGAGCTCGAGGCACACAGATGTGTGATGAGCGAGGGAAGCGCGGCAGGGAGAGGGGAGAGATTCATGAGCCTTGTGGGTGTGTGAAGACCACAAAAACCTTCCCATTTCTAAAGGAAACAGCCCCGAGATCTTAGGAACACGACCCATTTTACACTCTGCAAACCAAAGCGCTGGCCCGCCAGAGGCACAGGCGGCCTACTGTGCCAGGAAAGGGAGCGAGCAGCTTTAACAAAGGCTGCGCAGATCGCCCACTACAAAATGATTATTGCACATATTCATGTATTACTATGTTTTAGAAAATAATTAGTTTTAATTACAGCAGCGAGAGGGTGAGCTGGGCTCTGGCGAATTCGCTGGCAAGCTCGGTGGTGCTAATTTGCTAATATCGTTAGCATCGCTGCAGGTTGAGACCAGAGGCCTTGCCAAAAAAGCCTCCCCCGCACGTGCCCAGGAGTTTACCCCGCACGCTCCAGCGCGCGCGCACCCCGCTGTCTGCACGGCTGTGGGCTGGCTTTTCAAAGCCCATGTGCAGCCCCGTCAGCCCTTAAAGTCATCACCACACACACAAATCATAATTGGGGTGTTTTTCTTTTTTTCAAATTACTTTCAATACTTAGATTTTAAGAACTGGAACAAAAAGCTTTTTCAAGTGATGCAGCTGCAAGGGAAAAATCTATTGGGATCAGCTAAAAATGCTGTTATTTTTGTGAATGTGTGAAACCTCAAAACAGCAGCTGAGAGAGATCACACCAAGAAGCCCGCCTGCTCCATCAGCGGATGGCTCGCGCTGCTTCCTCTCCAGGGTCCAGTGCGCTCTGAATTAGTGAGTCTGTACACTACGGAGAAGAGACGAGGAAGGAGGCAGGATGTGCGTGGAAAGAGGGGCTGCCTATTCTCCGTGTGTCCAGAGGCACCGATGGTCGCATCGTTCCAGAGACAGTGGCAAAATCACCGGCCTGATTTCTTGTCACCCTGATGCTCCAAAGTCAGAAGCAACGGTTTTGTCCGTATTTATAATAAATTATGCCTAAACATTAGTTTTGCAAAACAGTAACAGTCACAGCCTAGTTTATATATTAAATGTGTTAATCCATGCAAAAGTAATGTTTGTGCATGAAGATCTAGGTCAATGTGTATTAGTCTAATTAATGATAATTTACACTGATTAAAAATCAGACTTAGAGGAACATAAAGAATGTATGTTGGTTTGAAATTCTCCAAACTCCCTTATTCTGTTACACATTTTAACATGGGCATTTGGAGCACGCAAGTCCAAACACTGTCAAAGATGCACTGATACATGATTTTGAGACATAAATAAGGATAGAATCTAGAGTCATTGTTTTTTTGGTACTCTTGCCGGAAAAGTGACATTTTTTTAAATAACTAAATGGATCTTGATGGACTGTGCCTGCTCCTCTTCCTTTTTCTGAAAAGCTTATTTTTAACTTCTTCGCAGAATTCTCAGGGGACACTGTGAGGAGCCAGGTGCCTCCAGAACCAGAGGCTCCAGGGGCTTCATTTCCCCTCCTTTCCCGGGAGCGAAGGACCACCGCCAGGACCGCCAGGACCACCAGGACCGGCACATGTTAAACCCAGGCGGGGCGCTCTCCTCCTGACCCCCCAGTCTGTAAAGGGCAGACAGGAAAAGAGCAGCGAGGAGTCGAGGCTGCAGGGAGGGCTGTAACTGGCTTGCAAGCACTGGCCTCTGGCTTTTCCACTGAAATTTAAGCGCTGGAATGAGTTCCTTCTTTCTAGCTATGCATATAAATTTTATTATTTTTATTTTCTTACTTTGTTGTTCATTTTTGGATAGTGTGTGACTTCTCCCCTCAGACGTCCCTGTAGTTCTCCCACCACCACAGCCTCTGACCATCACCACTGTCCTTTGGGCTCCTCCCTCCCCTGTTTTGACCCCTCTCCCCCACCTCCCCTGCCGAGCAGACCTATGGTCAGCTTGCAAGTTTTGTCTTTTTACTGACTCTTTGTTTGGTTTCCCTATATTCCACCTATAAGTGGGACGTCCCATATTTTCCTTTTTCTTTCTGACTTACTTCGCTGAGCATAATCCCTTCCAGCTCCACCCAGGTTCCTGCAAATGGCAGGAGTTTCTCTTTTTTTGATTGCTGAGTAGAAAATACTGGCAAACCACACAACTGGTAAGGGACTGATACAAAAACAAGGCAAACGACCCAGTCAAAAAATGGGCGGAAGAACTGAGAAACACTTCTCCGAGGAATGAGTTCTCAATGCAAGCCTGGGGCGAGGGCCTCAGGCAGCGATTCCACACGGGGTGGAAGACGTTCATAAAGATCAAGTGGCGTGAGGGAGCTGAATCCAGCCTTCGGCCCTCCTCTTCCAGCTTCCTTTCCTGACCCCCTCCCTACAAGGCTGCAAAATCATTCCCAGAAGACAGCAAAGTGAGACCAGAAACACGGTTCTTTCCTTTTCATGGTCAATAATACACTACTCTCTATTTTGTTCCTTGCTTTTGAGAACACAAGGTGCCTACGACGTGGGTGGGTCTGCAGATGTTCACGACTATCTCCATAGGCAGCAAAGCCACGAAGACCACTGTTGACACAGCACACGAAGGAAAAGCTCAGGAGATCCCGTCTCACGGGGTCACCGAAGCCTGGGAACACGTCCCAAATTGTCCCGGCTGACAACCTCCAGAGGCAGTGCTGGTGAGGTGCATGCACCTGTGATTTCACTGGGCGCCCCGACTCCTTATGGTCAGGCCCAGGGAACATGCTCCCAGCAACACCAGCAGGTGGGCGGCACCTCGCGGCTGCGCAGGCGCTCAGCTCTCCTGCCGTGGGGGCTCCCGCCAGGTCCCCGCCATGCACGAAGCCAGCAGCTGCCAAGTTGTGGGGCAGAAGCTCAGTCTACACCGCTCCCAGTTTTAAGAGGCTGGGCTTTCACAATTTATCAAGTCCTTACATTTTTGGGGGGAGGGCAGCAATTCACCTAATATCATTAATTTTTAGTGACTAAGCAAATGAGAGCCCAACGGGCTCTATGGCTTCTTCGCCGGCACACCATCAGCGAAGGAAACTGAAGTCTCCAGACAGGAAACAGTCACCATCTGGTAGATTGATATTCTAGGCATACTCTTGTAAATCTTTATATTTTAATCTCCCAACGGCAAATTCTCATGGGGAACAGCAAGTGCTACACAAAGCGACCAGGCAGCAGGCCTGTCGGGAGGCTGTTTGGCGAGACACCTACAGATTGGGGGTCCAGAGCGTGAGCACACGTGCACCAAGTCATCCCAGCCGGCGGGGAATGCAGATTCCTGGGCTGCTTTGAATTTCTGGCGCGGGGTGGGGGGCATCAGGAGCCTATGGTTTTCCTGGCCACTCTGAGGTGGTGCCTGATTTTGGAGAACATTGAAGCAAGTTGTGGAAACCGGGGCAGGCAGGCTGGTTGCTGCAGCTCGGGGCCCCACAGGCAGGTGGTTAACAGGTCGCCATGATCTGACCAAGCAGTCAGGCTGGCAGATTCACTGGTGGGCTGGGCGGGGCTCTGGGCAGAGGGGCTGGCTCCTCACTCACTATTAAGCTTAAGTTGCTGGAAGTGCGCTGCGTTTTGTACAGTGACTCCTGGGGGGCAAACCAAGCACAGATGGTAGAGGCAGTTTTTGGAATTCAGGTCTCTTCCCTAAAATGGTTTATATGCAGACAAATATAAGGCCAATAAACATAGAAGTAGACAGAAATAAGGACACTGTGATTAACCACACAAGTGTTGTATCTAAGGGCGCATTTAACAATGTCACATGTGATACAATTTTGCCCACAGTAATAGGTCATTCTAATCTTGTAATCCAAATGATTTGTTTAAGAGCGCTCCTTTGGAGGGGAAAAATTTTCCCACGCTCCACTCCCACTTGCCCTGCCTTTAAATGAAGAACTGGTGGCCACATCCACCGTCTACACCACCTGTGTGAACTCAGCCACGAGGCTGCGGAGCGTCAGTTGCCTAAGTTACCAACTAATGTTCAGAAGTCCCGCCGCCGCCCGGCCCTCCTGTGTCACCTCCACTCTTCAAGAGTGTCCCTATGAGGGCAACACTCTGCTGTTGGCCCTGCTGGTTTATCTCCATGGGTCCAAACTGCAGATCAGCATAGAGATAAAGGCCATTTGGCCAGTTCTAGAAAGTCCAGGGTGTACCTTCAGGGCATGAGCCTCACAGGACCCACCCTGGGCTGTCCTGGGCTCCTCCAGGACGCTCCTGTCGCCCACAGAGATTGCGACATAACTGCAAGGTCACTGGAGCTATCGAGACATGAAGCAAACCCACGCATCCACAGGCCCTGCACGTGCTGTGTGACTGCGGTCTGTGGTCTCATCTGACTTAGCAACTGAAATAAAATCCCATGGATGTGGAGAAGAAAATTTGATAAATGTTTAAATTACTGAAACTTCAATATTTCAAAATGCACAATGCAGTAAAAAAACCTACTACTTGCTGATCCAAGAAACCGTGAGGATAAACAGCCTTTCACTGAACAGATTTCTACTATATGAAGTAACGGACAGCCAAATTGTCTAAGTAGTAATAATAATGAAAAGAAGCCCTCTCTGTGAGTCTCCATTAAACTGGTTATTCCTTAGGAATACATGAATCTTCTTAGGCAGGGCACAGTGCCAACTGTTTGTTAGCTGGTTATTTTTGTGGCTCTGGGGTCCAAAGGAAGGCGAGGGGATGAGAGTTGCTGACAGGCGGTGAGCACACCTGTGGGCCAGGGCCCCGGTCACCCAGGTGGACAGACGGCCCAGGGTCCTGGCCCACAGACTCTGCTGGTGGCTCTGCAGCTTTGAGCTGACAGACTGGTTGAGGGCTTTGCGCTTCTCATCTTCAATGGTAAAAGCACCCACGTGGTGAATGTGAGCGGGCACCTGCTTACCCTAAGATTATTTGATATAAGAACCTTCATTTTCACCCCAGTTTTTATTTCACAAGCCACTTATGAGAAGTAGCGGGGGGAGATCCTATTATATTAGACCCTAGAAAACCACCGAAGTGGACTCTCAGACGGACTCATGCCCAGCCCCTCACGGTCCGTCCGTCCTGCCAGACAGCAGCCTGTCCGGAGGCCTGTCCAGGGGTAGTGGGTATGAGGCAGGGGAGGCGGTGGAGGTGGGGGGAAGGGACCAGAGATCCCCATACCCTCACCCTAGCAGGTCCTTCTAAGCGGACAGAGCACAGCAGGGCGGAGCGGACCCTGCCCCGTCACAGGTTATGGGGTTACGGAAACAGCGCTTTCTCTTTGGGTCGCGAGGGAACATGAGGTGGTGGTCCAGGGCCCAAGGTGACAGGACACTCTCACTGCACTCAGCAGATCGGGTCCTGCCAGAGTGCAGTTGTTGAGATTAAAACGTAGTTTGAAAATATTACACGTCATAAAGTTTCCAAAAATTCATTCACGACAGCATGGAAAGTCTTCACAGACACAGTCCGCACACAGTACTTATGGGGCAGCTGGTCTCACATGTACATTTCATTCTCCAGCACCAGCACCCAGGCTCTGCCCTTCAGTAATTTCCTCTGAAATGGCATTTTCAATAGGCACCACTATTTGAAACAGTACAGGCTCTTTTTGGGTGGGGTCTTCCAATAATCCTGAATATCCCCAAAGATAAAGAGCCCTCCATGTGTACATCTAGCAGGCCCTGCCAATGATGCTGGAGACACGGCCACATACTGTGCAAACAGAATGAGTAAAAAGAGTTTAGAAATGTAGCGTAATCCTCAGGTGTCGAAACTGTCAAGCTCCCGAGTATCAGGAAAGTTGTCTCCCCCCACCCCCTTTTCACCAAATGGTCTGACTTCTGGACTTGTTTTTGTAAGTTCAGGGGTATGAGCCTCGGGGGTGGAAGGGCAGGGGTGGACAGCCGGGGCACAGGGCTGCCAAGTTACCTGTTGAGCTGTTCACCATATTGGGCGTCATGCTGTAGGGGGGCGCCTGGGTGTTCATCAGCCCAGAGCTGTTGTTCATGGGCTGGCTGTAGGGAGAGCTGGAAGCCATAAGTCCACTCGGATTCATGCCGGAAAAACTGCCTTGCCTGGATGGAGAGAAAGCACACGCGTCGATGTATGGGCGCAGCTGGGTTGGCAGTGTGTCAAGTGACGCGCTGAGGCGGGGTGGGCGCTACCCTCATGTCTGCCCCAGTAACTGGCTTCTGGGGAGGCAGGCTGAGCTCCACCGCTAGGTACTTCATACACATTCCAAATAACAAACTTCACAAATAAATCACATTTTTTCAGTCATGTCAAGTGACCCAGGTTATGATTTATAGAGAGGACTATATAAGCAAGAGAGGGGGAACTTGAAATAAGAACAGGAATTACAAAAGCAAGCAAAATTAATTTCTAATGGTTAAAAATCTTTCATTTTTTTAACGCTCATATCTATACGTATCTTCAGGTCAAAAAACACAAGAAATGAAAACAGCTGGACGTGTGGGAAAGTTATCAATTATTTTTTTCACCTAAATTTGCTGATATAAAGAATATAGGAGAAACATCCGGGGGCTGGCTGCCTTCAGTCCTGTGGTTTATGTGACAGGTGTCATGGATTTCCCTGGTATTTGACACAGAAAACCTCGGACTCCTACTTCTTCAGCAGAGCTGTGTGACAGGAAGGAGGAGCTGAGACTGGAGGTTACTGTCCGGAACAGGCTCAGAAACCCCCGCTCCCCACCCCACAGGCTCATGAAGTTCATCTTTTCGAGCTAAGGTTTGTTAGCTTTGTGTCTACCCTGGGTGAAGGACAAACTTCTCTTCACTCTTGCAAAGAGGAGAAGGGTATTCTTTGATGTGAAGGAGACAACTGTCACACAATGTCATTTCTCTAACTGCTGGTAATGAGGGGGACAGAGATTTAAACGGTCGTTTAATTCTCCTAGGAAAATCACAAGGCAAAAAGAAAGATGATGGCAATGTGACAACATCTTTAAAAGGTTCCACTGCTGCAGTCAAGCTTTTATTATGTAAATAATAAACCTTTAAAAAACTTCTCAGAGTTTTGGCTGCTAATGTTTACTCTTAGGACTAAAGCTAATAGGAGGGGTAAAATCCCCAGGTCCTTCATTTATCTGTTCCAAATTAATATGATTACAACCCCTGTGGATCTACTCAACTCATTTGGTGGTTCTTAATGTCTAACAGTAAAATTTTCTTACAGATTATTTAAAAGATTTAAATGATTAACATAAGTCATAAAAAACCGTTGCTTTCATACAGCTAGTTTCAGTGGATTCAACTTTCTCTCTGATGGAAAAAGCTCAAACATGGACCATTTGAAAATCCCAAATTTCAAAGGTCTGAGTGATTCCCCCCCTTAGACGATTTGGAAAAATTCTGTACAAATCAGCACTCAACCATAGCTTGGAGAGAATATTCTAGAAGGCTGAAAATGCCACTTCTGCCTTTAATTCTCAGCTCACTGAGGTTCCACTTTGAATAAGAACATCTTGCAGAAGCAGTCTCCCACTGCCACTGTGGTCACTGAGAATGGACCCAGATCACCCAGAACCGGTAAGTCAAATACTCCTAAGTACGTTGCTGGGCAGGGCCTGGATGTCAGCGGGCAGACTGCTGGCACTCACCCATGAATCCCAGGTGAATTCTGAGTGTTATCATTCAAATGAAAGGCAATTTAGCATTTCTCTTACTGTTTCCTAGGCAAACAAGTGGCCCCTGTTGGGAATGGCTCTCCCCATTTCTTAGTGGAGCCATCACAGCAAGAGCACCCCTAACAAAGGAGATGATTCTGAGTGACAGCCCACTGGAACTGGTCCTTCATCCAAGTCCGGTGGCTCCCATCTTTGCCCCCACCCCAAGGCTCGCCTCCCCCACCCACGCCTGGCACAGGACTGTCTTTGGTGCACGCTGTTCACGCTTTCGTCCAGGCTCCTCTGGGTGCTGTGCTCCCTGGGGAGGAACAGAGTCCATGACCCTATCAACAGTTCTGTCCAGTGACTGAACTGATGCTTACAGAGGTGCTCTGCCATCCTTCTGAGCTCATACCCAGGAATCCGAGGTGACTGCTGGCACTCAGCAGCACAACTCAGTTTCACACCGATTATAGCTAACTCGATCATGAAACAGTCATGCACACTTGCCTTGTGACTAAGGTGGAAAGAGAGCCAGAGCGAGTCCACCAGGCGGGGGTCAGATGAGATAACCTCCAAGGTGCCACCTATGCCTGCTCTGTGATCCCCCAAAGTCAACCCTGTCCACCCTCCATCACAAGAGCACATTATAGAGGCTCGCAAACACCCCCCACGTCAGACGTGTCGCTTGTCATAAGGCCCATGGCTAAGCCTGGTTACAGAGCCAGCCCGAGCCCCCACTGTCTGCTGCCATTGGGTCTGCAAGCAAATCGCTCTGGACCCTGGAAAGCACTTTCCATGTGCTCTGCTGGATTCTGGAGACTGAGAGAATTTGCATTGTGGGAGGAAACAGAAGGTGGTCACCCCTCTAAGCTGAGGACCCCCGACTTTTGCCCGGTGCTGCTGGCAGAAGAGGATTTCTGTGTTGCCCACAAATGCTTCTCCAGCCAAGCTGACTCCCATTACCGGGACTACACACCCTCAGAAGCAGCTGGTTACTCTCCAGAGGCGACTCCTGCCTGCCTGACCACCGCAAATCTGGAAGGTTCTACACAGAACCAGTAGCTCCAAGAGCTAAATCACCACTCACAGTCTTTTTGTCCAAAGGAACTGAAAGCTTGGTTGCAAAAGCCGGAAGGAATATAAACTGAAAACAGGGAAATACTTGCAACGTCAGACCCTCCCACAGGCCAGCCACACTTGGAAGAGCAAAGTGTCCCCAGACACTTGGGTGTGAATTTCGGGGCTGTTGCTTCTAGTGCATCTACAGATGCTGCAAGTTTTTGTCACAAATCACAGCTGGACCTAATGCCACCTTGAGGGCCTGCAACACCCAGCATTGCCTCGGGCAGGAATTTATTGACACTTAAAAACAATGGTTTGTTGCTACACCACGAGGTAGCCACTTTCTTGCACCCTGGGAGCTCCTGGAAGGTGGTGCCCACAGGCCAGGGTGCTGCCTTGGCCGGCCCCCGGCCTGCGCCCTCTGTCAGAGAGGGTGTGGGGGCAGGGATCTGAACACGCCAGCCTGAGGAATAGCCAGAGGAACTTCATTTCTAAATTGGTCTCCGGATGGGACTAGATGTGTTTAGGAGCGGTTACCTGTGCCCAACCAGGTCATCAGCGTGAGAACGAGAAGGGGAGGCGTAGGTGCATTTCCCAGAGTGCTCCTCACTCTGCTTGGCGGCCCACATGCCCACACAAGCCATTTTTCTTTTTTGCAAGAAAAAATGTTCTGTTTCTTCACTTTGGTGATTTCTCACATACTACACTTTCGTCTGCCGACAACGGGCTGGGGTGGGGGTGGGCGGAGAAGCTGACGTCAGTTTTAAGTGAGCATTTCTGATGTCCACAGTGAAGGCAGCGAGAGACTCCAGCTTTCCACGATGGCTTGAATAAAGCATCATCAGCATAAAGAGCAAAGACATATTCCTAAGTACCTCGTATTTCAGTGAACAGTTTCAGTGACAAAATTTAAAATAAGACAAAGGCTGTGTATGGTGTTGGTGTCACAAAGGCATACTAAGGCTTTGTCTTTGAAGCAGTCACCACTGTGGGCACATCTTGGCAACGGATGGACAGGAGAGGGGGCTTCACACAGAAGATGATGCCACATGGAGAGGCTCCCCTCGCATGAGCTCAGTATACCTGCTGAAGCCCCTGGAGTGCCGTGCGTGCTCCAGGTGAGTGGGACGTGGTGCAGGCGTGCTTGCCAAGCTGTGCGTGGCTGCCCGGGAGACAGGTCCGGGCAGACTGTCCTGTAGATGGAGTTCGAGTGATGGAGCTGGACAAGACTGCTCAGTGACAAGATGAATGACTTAGTTAGCATGGAAATTCGGGGTGCTTTGTGCTTAAATCCAACAGTGATCAGAACCTGAAAATGTGAGAAGCCCAATGCCAGCAGAGTTTACCCTCTATGGTGCCCTAACATCACTTGGGATGCCCTGTGTTAAAGTTTCACACACCTGGGCCCTTCCCACACTGTCCACAGCTCTGGCACAGCCCACTGCCAGCCTAAGTGGGCCAGTGACCGGGCCACAAAGCCAGGAAGGAGACTTGGCTAAGAGCACTTCATCTAATATCTTAAGAGGGAAAACATTACACAGGGCCTTGGAACAACACAATCACAACAAAGAAAGCCGCCAAGCCTGAGCCTGCTTTTGGCGTGGCTAATCCATCAGCACGCCTATAGCAGCAAATGCATTCGCAATTCTGGTGGCAAAATGTTCTAATTTCAAGAAGCCAGTCACTCTAGCTCGGAATCAATCCTGTGAAGGTGAAGTGGCATTTATATCATTAAACCAAATACAAGGAACAAACCGAAGTGTGACTGATTTAAAAAACTGTAGATTCCTGTTAAACCACACAACCCAAGCTATTTTTTAAAAGCCGATTGCATCTCTTATTACTCAGGGAGCCCTGCTAAAAATCACTAAAATTAATGAGAAATGCCTTCCATTTACTTGATAGTTACAATCAGTGGCCAAGATGGGTGTTTCAGGAAAGAGGCGGGAGGGGCAGGAGTGCAGTTCCTGTCTTCTCCCCGAGACCTTCTGTCTGTCCTGTGGACTGACAGCCATGAGGCAGCTGCGGAGGAAGCTGCCACAGACTCCACTGCACAAGGCCAGCAGCCCGGCGACGGTTGTCCAGCTCTAAGTTACTAACTCCCCAAGTCCTATGGTAATAGATGACATTTTATTTTTTCCTTTAAGAATGGGCAGAGGGGGATGTTGCTTTTCAACAGCCCTATGAAAGCACTGGACCGAAGGGCAGTGGTCTCTTTGTCGGCCTATTTTAGGGACTAGTCTGACATGGACACGCAGTTGGCGGGTAAGTTTCAGCAACAGGTCCTCGTGTTGCTGCTGGTCTCTGCCTGCTGCTGCCCAGCACTGGGGATGCTGCCCGATCCACCCTGGATGCTTCGGCAACACTGCCCAGTGGCAGTCACC